TGGAGAGACAAATTTACGAGCGATCGCTTAAAATCCATCGTGAAACTTAGCGAGAAAATAAGCCACTTATCAAAGTTATCTACATTGAGTGAACCTTCCATCATGAAATTTATCGAGAATCAATGCGAACACTTATCAAAGCTAACTTTATATCATCTTAAAAAACGTGCTGCAAGGCGATCTAGACGTGCTCGTGAACTGAGCAGAATTCCACTGCAATTTCTAAGAGGTCTCAATAACAAGAATAGCATGTTGAAGAAATTTGTCTTCAAAAAGATTTCACTGAAGATTTCAACGATTCACATATCGAAGTCTTCAAAGCTCCATCGCTATGTTAATAAGGTGAGAAAACTTTATCATGCACGATATAAATGTAATAACAAACGGGATCCAAAGATAATTAACTTCAATAAAATGGCTATACCCAAGAAAGCTTATTTGTCTTTCTGTATCACAGGATAATGAAACCAAAATGTAAAGCACGTCGATATTTATCATTGTTTTCTTGCAATTGTGTGAGTCATATGACCAATTATAATATGTGAATTTCAAACTAAGTAAATCCAGGACTCAATACAACACTGATCATCATGAAGTAATAATTAGACCTTTTATGCAAAATCACAGCTCAACAATGCGGTTGATCTCTCCTATTTCCTCTGAGAATTTGATGCAGTCAAGATTAGGTGAACTTGGTTTACAATCAATAGATGTTGGCGGTGCAGGTGATTGACAAAAGTGGCCCCGGTAAAATTCACGAAGTGATTGTTGTTTCACATTTAGTCAAGGAAGCTGATGAGTTTTGTCCGTTAACGGCTATTCCACTGCCCTTGCTGTCCTTGACTGTGCACTCTATGAACTTTGCTGATGCACGATCAATGTAGACCACCATTACATCTGATGTACGATTCCAAAAAATGCATTTATGGAATTCCACATCAGCATCTGGGACAACACAAATACTGAGATTTGCTGTAAAGGCAATCTTATGGAAAAAGCACTTCTTGCGCAATAAAGGATTATTGCAGTTTATGGTGACATCTGACCTATTTTCCAGAGCCACCAATGCGATTTCTATAATATCAGCGGTGTCGTGTAAATCATACTGTCCATTTCGAAGAAGGATAATTTTCTTTTCCGAAAATTCTTTTCCGGTACGTTCCATAGAGCGTTGAAGGCTCTCAGAGGAGGCAACAACTTCCCATGTACCGTCCAAGGCTAATCACGCAGTCCGAGTCCTTTCAAAGCCAAGGCTTTCCTTGTGTATCCCTTCCAGCAGGTAGGCAGAATCTCAATATAGTCTTCGGAATCTTGAAGCGAGTTTTTGTAATTACTCAGCTTGAGATATGCGTTTGCTCGATTATTGAGCAGACGGGGGTCCGGTCGCATTCCTTTCTCATACACTTCAAGGGCACTTGTGTATGCATCCACGGCTTCTTTAAAACGACCTTGCTTGAAGAACGTGTTTCCTTGTAAACGAAGATCGTCTATGGCACGACTGTGCTCACTGGAGTCTTCTGCGTGTTTTGCGCACTCAATTGGAGGCCGAGATGAATACACCACGGTTTTTTTAATCATTTGATTAAGGGGTAAAACTAGTGGAAATAGTTTTGTTAAATCTTCTTTAGACATGGGGCCTTCAGCATTTGGACAAGAATCGAAAATACTAAATGCCAATCGTTCGGCTTCCTTGGCCTTAACTTGATGTCCGTGCACACTTAGGTGGACGGCATTATCATAAATGACGCGCGAAGTTTCGTAACTTAAAACGACTGCCTTAACTTCTCTGTCGATGTCTTGCTGATACAGCAATGTTTTTAAATGGTGCTGTAACGCAGAAGCATGTGTGGCTAGTTTGGACCACAAATAAAATAGAGATTTATTTGTTATGAACGCTGAAGGTTGTTCGAGCTCACTTGATGCGATGTAAGAAGGGATCTCGTCCGGCGAATGGTAACCTCGAAAGGCCCGGTAAAGCAGTTTTACCCCTGTAAGCATCGAGGTGACAGTTTCTTGAATAGACATTTCGTTGCGAATGACTTCCTGAACCAGACGATGTAATCTCAGGGATCGCAACTTTTCCGCTGGAAAAGTGAAAACTTGGTCAAAATGTCCACGATCTGATTCTTCACCAGGGGGAGTTTACAGCTTTGATCAGTGGAGAGCACCTCACAGATGACAAGCTCTTCGTTGATTTCATTGGATGCAAAAAAGGCCGAGGCTTTTAAGAATATTGATGCCAATTCCCCTTGCGGTGATTTTTTAACATATTCAAAGTTTAAAAGCCACGTGGTGTGCACAGCGAGTCGGTTTTTAGACTCGTACTCCCAAGACGGTTTTGCACGCGGATGTTGACTTAGCAACTGCAGTCGCTGAATTCTGTACGCTTGAAGATAGTCTTTGATAGAGCACTGAAGAGCTTTGATATGTGCACCAGCTTGTTCTAAAGCAAGAGGAAGACAACCTAGCTCGCAAATCAGCTCATCTATATCATCTAACACCAATTCATTTTCTGTATCAGCACAACCACATCGGACTAAAAGGAACTCCTTGGCCTCTTCTTCTGAGAAGGAAAAGAGCTCAATACAGCAAGATGGGTCAATATCCACAGACCCATACACCTCCTTTGGTTCGCGTCTTGTCGTTAGAAGTATGTCACCGCCTGCACGTCTTTTCCACCGACCAGACAGAACCGTGTGCATATTTTCAGAGAGGTGTGGCTGGTCGACATCATCAAGAACCATCAACCAAGGTTTTTCCAGCTTGGAGATCCACATAAGAAGTTTGGCCAGCGTCAAATCAAATGAATTTGCCTCAATACCTAAACGTAGAGCGAGGTCACTTACAGAGCTTTCAAACTTTCTGTCGTCCTCCATAGAGAACCAAAACACACCTCCTTCGTACTCTTGCTTACGTTTCCAAGCAAAGTAAGATGCTAGAGTGCTCTTTCCACATCCCCCGAGACCACAAATGGCTGCCATTTTTAATTCTCTGCGTTCGTTCAGTGGTAGGCACTTTTCAATATTTTCAATTTCTTTTTCTCTTTCCGTAAACCACTTGGTTTGCTCTGGGGCATCAAAGACAATATCTTCTGAATGTGGTAGGCTTTTTACGGCTGTTTTCAAAAAATCCAAATCTTGCAGCATAGAATTGGCTTTCACTTCTAAACGTCTGCAGAGGTGTTGAACTTTTTGTGTAATTTCCCAGCACATCTCCAGTTCCTTATCCTTGGCGCTCATTTTCTCAGTGAACATTTCTTGATGTTGCTTAAGTTCTTTGCAAGTTACTTCTAACTCAGCTTGCTTTTCTTGAAGAAAGGCAATGGCCTCATCGAACTCAGATTTAAGAAGGTCAAGAGTAGCGTATATGCGACTGTCTTCGTCCTTTAGATTATCCAACGAGTCAGATAGTTGTTGAACTTCCAGCCGTACGAGTTGAAGAAGAGTGTCGTCAAGGGGCTTTCCGAGACATATGTCTTTCCCTGTAGAAAAACATTGCAGGAGATTTAATAACTGAAAACAGGTACTTAAAAACGTAACAAGAGCTATCTTGGTCGTACCAATATGAAACGCGAGGACCAAAGTCGCGATTCTAAGTGCCTGACGACGGGACCTCGGTAAACAAGCCTAATAGTAGAGAGCGTAGAAAGAGGTATTTTACTCAGTAAACATAAACGTTAGATTAAAAGTTATTGCTTGTTTATAATAATAGTTTATTAATACTTCTGGCAGTTAAAAACTTAATAAACAGTGCAATTTACAATTGAATACTAATAATTAAGTCTATTTACAATAATAAGTATTACAATAATAATTGGAATCAAGAAAACCTAAAAGGAAAAGAGTCATTTGCTCTCTTTGTCCTTTTCATTGTTGTAGTGGTTTTACTATTTCCTGATCTTAACTGATATGCTATAGATCTTGTCATAACTTGTGGAGCTAAGAAAGATATGGGGTGGCTCTCATTCCTCATATCCGCCATCAACTTCTTATATATGAATATCCTGCGATCTGCTAACGATGTCAAATTTGCTTGGTCTAGAGCTTGTTGATAACTAGAGTTTGGAAATATTATTCTTAAGGCTCTTCTTTGTTTCCCTTTTTTCTCATGGAAAAGCTAGTAGCCTGCAAGGAAAGGGACCGCTTAAGGTATTTCAACTGAATCTTCAGAAATTTCAGTATTCGGAAACGTTCTTTGGGTAGGATAAAAAGAACGAGCCCAAAAGCTGCAATTTTAATTTACCAACATAGATTCGTTTTGGTCACTGCTGTTAAAGATGAGGACATGTCAAAGAAGAAATGAGGCACTAGCAATGCAGAAATATATACAAACAACCATTCGTGGAATGTACGAGTTAAGGGGTGCAATGTATGGTTTACCAAGAATTAACAGTGACAATCAGGTTTGGAATCTTAAAAAGCCTTCAGCCAATTTTGAGTTCACCTACTGTATGATTTATTGGCTATAACGTCAAAACAGAGGATGGAGCTAATGTGAAATGTACCGCAAATAAGGAAAAGGGCTCATCTTTCTTAACATTTTAAGGTACAAATATTGTGCTGGTAAGTCGCTTGATAGATCACGTGACCATTTTAATAAAAATCTGCAATAATTGACAAATTGGTGACGGCTTTGAGACAAAAAATCAAGCAATAACATTTTTCTCATTCATATTAAATATTTCTAACACTTCACGTTTGGAATGACTGTGCATTGCACTTCAATGAAAAAAAGTTATCAAAGTAGACATCATTTTACAGTCAAACCAGGTCAAGTGTACCCCCCAAGAATAAATTAATGAATTTATTTTTCAAAAGTTGAATCCGTTGCTCGTTGTAGATTTCAGATTGATCTCTGCATTCTTGCATGTGCAATGAGCCGTGAATTCGCACGCGGGGCAGTTATGAAATTTCTACCAGCTCCATTTTCCTGAAATTGATGTAAATGTCTTCTAAGAAGCTTAATCCATTCAAAGATTTCCAATCTGACCAAATACAGAGAAGTTCTCGTAAAATATTCACTGCTCATTACGCATGCAGAAACGCCGCTTTGAATTTGACACCAGTTACGGGAACGACTAACGGATTCATTTTTCAAATAATCAATTCATTAATAGAATCTTGGGGGGTACGCTTGACTTAGTTTGACTGTAAAAGCGCAAATTTAATTTGAATAATTCAAAACTTTAATTTTAAACTTCCAGTACATTCATTCCAAACTTAGAACGTAAAGTATATTAATTCGCTATCAGAAACGCTAATTTCTTTATCAAAACAATATAAATTCCTCACTTCTTCGAAAATTTCCTTCATTTTAAATTTTTGATCACGTGACCATAATTAAACGTTAAGGCACAAGAGGACCTCAAGATTTACTTTTGGGGGAAATTCATCTTGTTCTAGGAATCCCAGCTAGAGATATTGTCAATTAACCATACATCTCTTTGACCCAGGCCTTAAACCTCTTGGCATTCCATTTTCGCTTAGTACGTTGTCTACCAGGACAGGACTAAGAGCCTGTAATGTCTCAAGTTCCTGTATTTAATACCTACTAAATGAGTTTTAGCGTCGTATTTGGCAACCATATATTATTATATACCTGATTCAATGAAGCTTGCTTTGGGCATTGAGAATTACACATTGTGATGCTATTGTTTGGTGGTCACTGAGGCAAATTATTGCAGTGAGTTCCATAACTATATACCTAAATGCCCAATTACCAATGACCAATTGCCAAAGCCGCAACAGTTATTGAATTAGGCATATATTGAAGGAGACGTTATAAATGAACGACAATTTAAAATGCCTGGGGTTGTACAAGAAAATACAAGGGGAATAACCTCCTTCCAGTTTTACTCAGCTGTTCAGTAGCCCTGCTCTTCCCTACAAGCAATTACAGCTGATTAGGTGTTAATTTTTTTCTCTATAAAACAATAACTGAATCAGACGCAAGTAAAAATAATTGTCGAACAGTATTTCACTGTGCAAATAACTGTGACTTTCAAGTCAGTACCATCAATTCATGCATTTTACTGCTAACCCTTAGACGTACTTCCCCCTCCCCAACCACTGTAAGGCTTTTCTCGAATTTTTTAGGGTAATACTGAAGCAGAACCTCCCCTCCTCAGACTCCTCAGAATAGATTGTTTTTAAATGCCGTCACGGGGCCATATTGGTGTACAAATCGATGGATTAGTAAACTATGGATTAAGAAAACATGGATTAATAAATTTGTTATACCTTGATTGGTAAAACATAGATTTATGATTTGCCTTTTATGCTGTACATGTAGTAACGAACTGCTCCAACCGACTTTGGTCATGCAGAATGGTATCATTTGTTAAAACATATACAAGCCTTATGATGTTAGAACTGTTTCTACAGGTAGGATGAAGGTTTGTTAGATTTTGCCTATTACATCGTTATATTTGCCAATATAAATCACTTTACCTTGTGTTCTCCACAGTTCCAGTGAATCCAAGGCTTTTGCTTCATCGACGGAAGGTAAACTTAGTCTTTTGATAAGAGCCTCCATAAGATCAAAGCAAGTGTCATAATGTCCTTGCGTCCAAGCTATGAAGTCGCAATGGGCCCACTTATTACGAACTTCTGACCTAACATTCTCAGCGAGCGGTTTGACAGACGTGAATGGCAGAGCTCCACAGAGGACTGCAAGCGCTGCTGAAGAGTCAAAGGAACTATCGAATGCATTAAACTTTGCCATAAAAGGTTTCATAAACAGCTTGGCCAAAGACATCTCATCCCTTACACAGTAGTCGTAGTGGCTACGGTGCGGGGCACTGTGGTTATTGTTGATACTTTCATAGTTCAAGTTCACCGTGGACGGTGGAATATTCTTTTTGAAAGATTTGTACGTCTGTTTGTCCAGGCCAAAGCTTCGGACCAAATGCTGGTAGAATGGAGTCATTTCGGCTTTGATCCTATCTCTGAGGCACGGAGTAAGGACATGGTGAAGAGCAATACCCACCACTAACCATCGGCGCTGCTCTTGAGAACTTCCCGTTAGGGAAGCCATGTCTTAAGTTATTGATCGTCTCAGCAGTTTAAAACGGTGGATTTCCTACAAATTGAAGCAAAAAAATTAAAAGATCAAACAGGTCATGAGAGTGCATCAAAGAGACCTTTAATGCAAATTAAAAGGTATCAATTTTCTCATAACAAGATAGCAGACTCGGAAAATCATTGCTATTTGTTATATTTTTTCCACCTCCCATCATCTTTTGCTATAGGATAACAGTTCATATGGGTTATACAGTTGCTTTGTCTCTTTAATATACGTATTCTTTTCTCAACCAGGTTATCATCTTTCAGCTGGACTCCTGCTTTCGTGGAAAGCACTAGCTTCCCCGGGACCTTTCTCGGAAAAACAGGTCGGATTAAGGTTTACGTAACGTCGCGTCACATGAGCTCTTCGTTACGTCGCAATTGTTATAATAACAGGGAACGTATGGAAGAGAACTCCGAATAAACTCCTCGAGTGCTGTTAGGACGTTGTATCGAAGATCCAAGTAATTCCGTAAGAATACACAAAACTGAGAAATTTGTGACCACGACGAACGAAGGATAAAAGCAGTGGGCCTTTCAAATATCTTAATCATATTATTTCATATATGTCCTTTCTTAGGGCATGTTTTTTAAAAGAATTATCTGCACCCCACCTTCTGACCATTCTCTTTCGTTTCATTGATGACATTTTTAGCTCATGGATGACGTAGTCATGCCATGGGCTTTTGGAGGCACTCGAATGGCACTCGATCACTCACTCACTCACTCGATTTTCATTAATTTATTCATTAAAGTCAGATTAAACACTTTACTCTTACCTCCCTTACTTAGTATTACTTTTGTTCCAAGTGCCTTTTACGCATATGTTTGGAATATTCTAGAGGGTACTAGTAAGGCGAATTTTTTTCCCGACACATCAATTATAGAGATGGGTTTTGTATAAATGGAAATATTCTAAAGAACACTGATAATATCATCCGCAAGAAATGGACTTAGAATTGTTAAAAGGACATTGAAATAATTGAGCGTGGATCATTGTTGTATATTTGGACGAATTGTGCACATTTGTTCCCGATATTATACTTGATATGGAGAAGACGCGATCAACAGGAGTGTGAAAGAGCTATTGCAGCCTGACGATGGGATTTCGTTCAGCGAAAAGCGAATAAGCCAAAGAGCCTTATAATCACTGCAAAAAAACGGTCCTCGAATTGTTAAAGCAACATTGAGGAGTATCTATTGTGATTATTCAGTTATTTGGACGAATCCATTCGACCATATGTCTTCGTATGCAAACAGGGAATGAATTAATGTTGTGTCAACTAGAAGCACAGGTTTTAGAACCAACAAGCGTTACGCTATTTTGCTTGAATTCTTAGGTGATCTTTGCCTTAAAGTAGGCTTTTGTTTGTCGGGTGATTCCACTTAGCAGTGCTATTAATGTCAGGTCTACAAGAAATACTGCGCTGGTATACTGAAACAAGTCTCTAGAACATTCAGGTGGGGAAAGGCAATCGGATACTTCGATTGCGTTTAAATTACTTGGCTAGGTCAGAGCACGTACTGCTTTTAGCTTAATCCTTTTTATTAAACTAATTTTTAGCTCGTGTTTATCAAAAGCGCGTTATAAAGCAGTTCAATTTAGCCATAAACGCCTGTATTCTGTATTTAATATAGCTCGTACTACATATACTAACCGTTACGTACTCATCATATGGAAACATTTATTTAAAAGCATCGCACTTTTAGGAAACCTTCGAGGTCCATTAAAATAATTGTTGAAAACCACGGTTTAAATAAAACTCGTGCTTATTTTTACAAGAAAGTGCACTGTCGTTCGGAAAGTGTTTTACAGTCACATGACAAAGCAAATTATTTTCAACTTAAAAAAGCGTTAATAATTGCTTTTAAAAGTGATCTTTGCTTTGTAAGTAGAAATGCTGCGCTGATAACAAGTTTCTAAAATATTCAGGGGCACATGAATCGAATACTTCGAGTCACGCTGCATTTTGGTAAGTCCGTACACAATGAAGCGTTCAAAAAGATTTATATGTTTTTCTTTGATTATTGAACTGTCTTTTCTCTACTTATTCAATTCATCCATGAGCTCGCTCCTAGGAGCCTTTAATTGCCATTTGGTGCGGGCCTAAGGACACCCTGCTAGAATTTTTGGGCGCTCTCAACAGCAAAGATCAACGTATTCAGCTTGCTCATTGTATTAGCGAGCTTAGCATTTCTTTTCTTGATCTATTTCTCTATAGAGATGGGTCTTCAAGCGTGCTGCAGTTTTCCACTTTTCAGAAGCCCCTTAACAAATACCTATATATACCCTTCGAGTCGTTTCATCCTTCTAGCAATAAGAAAGCCTTTATTAAAGGGGAATTAATGAGGTATGCTAGAAACAGTTCTTCCTTTAAATCTTTTTCGGAGACTAGGGATAGATTCTGGAAGCGGCTACGGTTTAGAGGGTATCCATTTGCATTTTTGCTACCACTATTTCGCGAAATACGATACAGCGACAGAAAGAAGTGGTTTTTGCAGAAAGCTAAGAATAGGTCTCAGCGGGCTACTGTATTCAAGACTACTTTTAATAGGACAATTGCACGATGACGTCATTTTACTACAACTACCAGAATCCTTCAGTTTGTTGTTTTCTTGTGCAAATTAAGGCTATTGTTCTTTTATCCTCAGCGGAATTGACAAATTTAAATAACAAAGCAAAAACGAAATGAATTCTGGTAGTTGTAGTCAAATATCGTCATCGTGCAATTGTCCTATTGCAGTCACGCACGTATTAGGAATGTAATCAACAGGATTATGCCAGAAATAGACTGTACCGTATGTTACAAAGCTACTGTAACATTAGCTAATCTTTGTAAGTAAGTTTTTTGGGGCCACGATTTTAGCTAAAACCGTGGCCCCAAAGTATTCTTACGCCTTGCGTAAAAAATTTCACAGCTGCGCCTGTTCCTTTTCGTAAATCCGGCCAAACCTTCAATGTTTGCGACCATCATTATTTTTAGTCATATTATGGCTTAAATACAGGCGTTTAGTATTTGACTGTAAAACTCCCTGAAGAAGTCTACGTTAGTTAGACGAAACGCGTAGGAGAATAAACAAGTTTTACAGCAACAGTTCGCAGAGTGCTGCTCACTAGTTTAGTTTTAAAAATTTTAAAAATTTGACACCTTTGCCGTCCCGGGGAGGAGGGAATTTGATTATCAGAGTTTTCCAGGGGGTGGGGAATTTGATCCCCATGCTTTAGGGGTGGGGAATTTGAACTGCACCCTCGATTTCATGTAAATCTTTGGCGTGGCGAGCTATGGGGGCCCCGGTGTTATCGGATTTTCGTCATGTTCGTGGAAAAGATTAATTGTGCCATTGTGGCCAATTGGTTACGAGGAAAGGGCTTAAACAAGCTTTGTGGCGTATTTGAAGTATTTAAATTTTAAAATTTTTAGTTTTGGATTCAGGCTGTGAATGTATGAACGTATTTCTATACCTCTACCGGCGATTCAATACAACAACATAAAAAAATAAAATAAAAAGCTCAGGTCAACAACTTTGACCTACTGTAAGTAAGTTAATCAATAAGGTGAGCGATGATACATGTCATGATGATGATGATGTAGTAATTTCAATAGGTGGCATCTTTTTGATAGAACGCTTTGTATGTTACATGACGAAGAAAAGCTGAGCCTTCAGTGACATTGTAGCAGCGATTTCCGCCGCTTTGCACGAGACTTTTGTCAGTAATAAATACGCTAACAGTGTTTCTCAGTTTTTGTTATATTTATAAAGATTTTGTTCGACAACTGGAGGCATTTCCGCCGTCCTTCTGTCATTTTTGTGCCTGTGAAATGTCCCCAGGGTGGGGGCATTTGATCACCTGAATGGACTCCAGTGTGGGGCATTTGAACGGCATTTTTGCCCGGGTAGGGGGAATTTGAACAATAATTTTCAAAAAAGTCAAATGCCAGGGGGGTTGCCCGGGGGGGGCATGTTGAAGCTTCGATTTGACCGATACATAACGCTTTGAGGCTTAATTACAAACCGGTAACTGCAAAGCGCATTGATCAGCACTATTATAGATTAATTTCACGAGTGCCTGTTCTTGACCTTGGGATTGAAATTTGAAAATTCCAGTCTCAAACGGACTCATACTTTTAGTATTGTAGCTTTCGAATGTATCGCACAGTCTTCATCAGCAATAATCGCTCAGTGTTGGCTCGTGAATAAGTCACTTGGTACCTAACAAATAATTAAAAATCGCAGAACGATCATAGCCCCCATCCTGCTCAACCTCAAGGACCGCGCGAATTTGAGCAATGGAATTGTTTGAATTTTATCTATAATATCATAGGTGACGAATTACTCCTTAATTTTGGCGCGAAATTTCAGCGTTAATTTGTAATTTCACATGTGAAATTACCAAATTGCCATGGCAACGTGCCGTACGTCTCCGTTTCAAGATGGCGACGAAGTTTTATTAAAATGCCATGAATGAAGATGTCGGGGCATAAAAAGACGCTTTAGAAAACCTGAACACACGAAAGAGCACATCAAGAAGGATTCTTAGAGGTATGTTGTGGAAAAATTCTGAAAACTTAAGCCAAATTTTAGCTCTAAACGTTTGAGAGAGTGGAGTTCCAATCGATCGATACGATCCAGGATAAACAGGTCAAAAATCCTCGATTGCTAACCGGTAATTCGTCACCCATGATATTAATAGGTAATCAAATGGTATACTCGTGAAATTAGGGAATAATTTCACTTGCGTTTTGTCCAAATCCTAAGGCTCGGGAAATTATAAGGATTTGGACAAAACGTGCGTGAAATTATTCCCTAATTTCACTCGTCACCATTTGATTACACAGACTAATCTATCCCTATCTATAGATCGTTTTCACTGTCACGCAACAAAAAAAAAATTGGAATCCTTCCAGTGGAAGAAGCCAAGAAAATTAATTTTAAAAAAGACTAATATATAAATAATTTGTCCAAGTCTCAGGTCTTCGTGGCCCACAGTTTCTGAGTTATTTGCCAAAACGTTCCACGCACCTTTGTAGAGCTTTGTATGGAGACGCCATATTGGTGAACCGTTTTGGTGTACAAATATGGCCGCCGGAAATCAACGAAAACATCTAGAGTTCACTTTTTCTATAACAGCTTCTTCTTTTCACTCGGGAACTAGCATACGTAAGCATAAACACATCTTCTAATACTTGAAATGGTTATACTGCTGAAAATCAAGAGGACAGACTTTTTTTCAACGAGACAGCATTCCTATTTTGGTGTCACGCACTGTTAAAACTCTGAAGTTTAAATTGCTGTATTTTCGAAATGAAACATGCTACGGGAATAGCAACTTATACAAAGATTTACTTTTTGTTGATCTTTAACCTAGTGTAAATAAGAATTCGTAAAACCTCGCTATTTTGACTTTACAATTTGATGACGTCATTGTGAAAAACGTCTATTGATGTCTCAATAAACAAAGACAGCAGTGATATTTACATGAACCTGACAAACGCGATGCCCGAACGCAAAAGACCTTTTTAGCTTGCATTGTTTGCTTTGTTTCCCAATTGCAGACCATGTGACGTTACCTCAGAAAACTGTTTCTTTCAAATGTCGCGCTTTCCACGTGCACATGCGTGCATAACTAATGAACTTCTTGTGATGTGAATTAGGAAAATAGAACCACAAGCTAAGAGGGTATTTGGGCTCTATCCATTTAGTTAATCAAGCCAGCTGCAAAGAAAGTCAAATTTGAGTTCGTAATATACCCAAAGGGTATTAAAGAAGACTTAGAATACACGAATAGAGGTCATATATTGAATTAAGGATGGAGTATTGCCTCCGGTCCTCCCAAAGGTCAGGATTTTTAATTCCAAAACCGACTTTCTACGTCCTTTGTGAGCCACTTATCTGACGCTTAGGTCGTTCATTCAACTTTGAGGTTCACCTTACTTCACTTTTATCCTATCATCCGCAGTTCAATACATGACTTATTTCATATCTCAGTCTAGGTCATTTCATAGCTAAATTGATAAACATAAAAGTTCTCACCACTTCTGAACTGGGGGAAATTCATGAGTAAAAATTTCGATGGTTTTGGGATCTTTAAATGCCGCCCAACAAAACAACTTCTTGCCGAGATACATAAAAGCACCCATCATTCCGCAACCCATAATTAAATGATAAAGCTCTGGTTGATTTCGTATTTTAAAATCAAGGAAGCGACTGCGATCATAAATTGTTATCTGCGCTTTATAAGGGTTATATTCATCACTGGCGTATTCTTTTGGGTGAAGCAGTTTGCCAAACGCCAGTCCCTCAGAAGTTTGCATTTTGACAACAAAACGATTTCCGTCTCTTGGAGGAGGAGATGCATATAGTGGTCCCGTTGGCTCCAGACTCGGATGTGTTTGGGTAACGTACGTAAAGCGTGGATCTTTCTCTGGGGCGTTCATTGGAATCCGAATCTCGATGGTATTTATCTGCCTTGTAGCTTTGCAGACCTTTTTGTGACTGCTCCAGTGCAATCTCTGACATTCCTTTCCACAATACCGTGCAGTCATACAACCTTTGCAAGACATCAATTTCGGATCGTGTCGAAAGCAAAAGGCACAATTTGTTTTCAAGGACGCCGCGTGCAGGTTAATTTGGGTAGCGTCATTTTTGTAGCACTGATTGTTGGACTTGTACAACGCTGAAACTGCATTAGGAAGAGAAACCTCAAAAGCGTCTTTATCGCCCCTCAGAACTGCCTCACTCTTTGTTGCCTCATGCATATCGAAATAAACTCGCAGTTCCTTTGGAAAAGAAATAACTTCAAAATATTTCAATCCTTCATGAAATGCCGGTCCATAGTTATGATGTATGACATTGCCTTCCACAACACATGGAAGTCTCCCTTGACTTTGCCTACCAATTCTAATTCCACCCATCTTGTTGTTGCGTATCTCATTGCCTTTGTAGTAACCGCCTGAATTGCACTCCACCCATACTCCCCACCAGAAATTTTCAAACACCGTGTTCTCTTCAAATACTATATTGTTTGCGCGAAATTGTACACGAATGCCATACGCACCGTTGTGATAGATTTTATTCCTTCGTATGACCACCTCTTGGAATGACAAACTAAGATCATGACCTACCACAGAGACTCCTTCGAATTTGTTGTCAAAAATCTCGGAATTTTGTATAAGGACTCTCTTTGCTATGCTGTTGTTATATTTAGTTCCAGCAACAATAATACCCTCAGTGTTCCCGTGAACCTGGCAGTCAGTTACTTCTAAGCTTCCTTGATCTATCACTCTTATTCCAGGTGACGACTCTGCTCCTTTACCATTTCTATTAACTTTGCAGTTCATCAATGAAGCTAATGCAGTGCCATATTCGACCGTGATTCCTCCCCCGGGGCTGTCAGTGATAGAGCAGTTAATAAACTTTGCCAGTCCGTAAACAACAACGGCTGCGTCCAACGTGCAAGTGCTCTTAAATTTACAGTTGGTGAACTCTGCGTCGCCATCCTCTTCAACATAAATAGTTCTTTGGGTTAAAAATGAAACATTGTGTACAAAACACTCCCCCGCGAAACAAAGTCCGCCACAGCTTATAGTCACTTCGGAACCTTCACAACAGGCTGCTAAAGTTATACCCACAATTGCATTAGAGCCATCGGCATTTATCAAAACCTTTGTAACCCCCACTTGCTTTTCGTCTTCAACAATTTGTGCATGCTTAACTTCGTAACTCTTACTGGTAAGGAGAAGAACTTTCTTTCTTGAAGTTGGAAATCGACTTTTTATTATGCACTCTTTGAGTGATTCAGAAGACTCTACAACCTCCCAGTTTCCATCGAGGTCTTCAAACGTGTTTTGGAAAGATTCATAACGGCGGCAACTACTTGCGTCATGATTGCGAAACATAAAGCGAAGCCTCTTCTTCCAAGCCCATTCAGAGCTGAGGCTTTCCTAGTATATCCCTTCCAGCAGTTAGGTCTAAGTTTAATGTACTCCTGGGAATCTGCGAGACACTCTTTATGATTTCCCAGTTTGAGATACGCAGTTGCGCGATTGTTTAATAGGTGGGGATCTAAATGTTTTGCCATTTTACTTACTTCAAGTGCGTCGGTGTACGATTTTACAGCTTCTTTGAAATTTGCATCCTTAAAAAGCGTATTTCCTTTTAGACGCAACTTGTTTATTTCGGCAATCAGATGATCTTCATTTTCTAGAAGGTCCTTATTATCAGGTGGAGGACGAGATGAGTACAAAATGATTTTCTTTAAAAGCGGAGGGGGAGGTAGAGCGTGAGGAAATAGCTTTTTCAGTTGGTCGAGAGTCAAGGTAGCGTTACTGTCGGTTGTGCAAGCATTGAGAATTTGAAACGAAAAATGGTCGGTTTCTTTTGCTTCTTCGTCATGACAATGCACACTTAACTGTATAGCGTTTTCATAAATGATACGTGAAGTCTCATGGGTTAGAACGATGTTTTTGTCATCCCTTCCGATGTCGTCTTGATCCAGGAAGTCTTTCAGATGGTTCTGTAGTTCAGAAGCATGACATGTCAACTTCGACCACAAGAAGAACAGAGAAGGATTCGGCACGGCTGTTGATGGTTGTTCTTTAACACCTGCTACGATATCCAGCGGGATTTGATCTGGAGAAGGGTTATCACTGAAGGCTTGGTGAAGAAGATTTACTGCTCTAAGAAGAGAGGAAGCGGTTTCTTTAGTTGTCATTCTGCTGCGGATGACTTCTTGAACAAGACGGTGTATCCCAAGAGTACTCGAGCTTTTCCTCTGAAAAAGGGAAAATCTCGTCAATATATCTACGATTTGACTTTTCATTGGCCAAGAAAAGTTACTGCTTGATCGTGATGGCTCGTCTGTGGAGAGAAGCTGACAGTTGATCAACTCTTCGTGGATCTCGTTCGGTTCCAGAAAAGCAGCAGTCTCCACAAAATGGGAAGCAATATCACCGTGCAATGACTTTGTGACGTAATCAAAATTTAAAAGCCATGTGGTGTGCACTGCCAGTCGATTGTTAGATTCATATTCCCATGACCGTTTTGTCCGTGGTTGTTGATTCAGCAGTTTTAGTCGCTGCATTTTGTACTCTTTAAGGTAGATGCTTATAGGACACTGAAGAGCCTTAATATGCGCACCAGCTTGTTCTAAAGCGAGAGGTAGATATCCCAGCTCACGAACCAGCTCATTTAGGTCAGCCTCATTTTCAGCAACGGTGCTGCCACTTCGTGTAACAAGGAACCTCTTGGCCTCCTCTTCAGAGAACGCCGAAATATCTACACAATGAGTTGCCTCGAGATCTATGGACTGGTTTACCACCTTTGATTCCCGTCTAGTTGTAAGCAGGACATGGCCTTTTGCTTGTCTTTTCCATCGTCCAGACAGAATCTTATGCATTTGTTCAGATAGATGAAGCTGATCAACGTCATCTAGCACCAAAAGCCATGGCTTTGTCTGCTTTGATATCCATGTAAGAACCTTGGACAACGTCAAATCGAAAGAATCTGCCCACATTCCCAAACGCAATGCCAGGTCATTCATGGAGTTTCCCAACTTTTTATCGTTCTCCATTGAGATCCAGAATACACCTCCTTCGTAATCAGCTTTATGTTTCCAGGCAAACTGAGCTCCCAACGTTGTCTTTCCACATCCGCCAAGACCACAAAGGGCTGCCATTTTTAATCCTTCACTTGTGAATGTGAGGTATCTTTCAAGCTTCTCTATTATTTCTTCTCTACCTGTAAACCATTCGTTTTGATTTGGGGCTTCAAAAATGACATCTATAGGACTGCCTGAAAATGATAGATTTTCCATCTTTACCTTTAGCATTTCTAAATCCTTTTTCATAACTTGGCTTCTCACTTCCAGAGTTTTGCAGATGTCATTTACGTGTTGCTGTCTAGTTTCCCAGTGTAGTTCTGATATCCTTAGCATTTCCCTCTGATCCCTGTCTTTGGAGCTTATCTCTTCCTTAATCATATCTTGGTTTTTCCTCAGCTCCATACAAGTCGATTGCAATCTCTGGTGTTGATTCTTTAGCACCTGTATGGCTCTATTGAACTCAGACTTAAACAGAGCCAGAGTGGAACAAATGCTTTTTATATTTTTGTCATCTTTATCTTTGAAGTCATCTAATGAGTCAGATAGTTGTTGAACTTCTTTACGCATGAATTGCAAAAGATTGTCATCAACCGTTTTACCAAGGCATATTTCCAATCCTGCATCAGATATAAATGCACAAAGAGACCAATAATTAACATTAACACACTTTATAACGTGATATTATTTTTTCCAGCTTAAATTGTTCTTAAAGATACGACTCAGAGTAATGTGAATTCTCTCTACATGAATGAAAGGTTTGTTGATAATTTAAGGTTAAATGAAAGGTATCTGCAGCTTTTTAGGCCCTTTCCACCTAATCTCTATACAACTGTAAATTTTATCTTAAAGCTCCACACAGACAATATCAAACTACCTGAGAGACACTTACAATTAAATTAACACTACGTCGCAGATAACGAAAACGTGTTAACAAATTTGGTAGTTCTTTTCATCGTACCTTGTGTCCTCCACAATCTAAGTTCATCCAAAGTTCTTGTTTCATCAGCAGAGGGGAATCCCAAGTTTGCTACGAGATCCTCCATAAGGTCAAAGCAAACGTCATAATGTCCCTTCGTCCAAATTGTAAAGTCGCAATGCGCCCACTCGTTACGAACTTTTAACCTCACATCTTCAGCAATCGGTTTGACAGACGCGAATGGCAAAGCTCCAGAGAGAACTGAAAGGACTGCTGAAGAATCAAAGGCGTCGTCAAATGCATTGAACTGAGCCATGAAAGGTTTCATAAACAGCTTGGCCAAAGACACTTCATCCTTAACGCAGTAGTCGTAAAAACTACGGTTAGGGACAGTGTGGTTATTGTTGATACTCTCGTAGTTTAACTTTACAGTGGACGGTGGAATGCACTTCGTGTGAAATGGGTACTTTTGTTTATCCACACCAAAGTGTCGCACCAGATGCTGGTAGAAAGGAGTCAATTCACCTTTGATCTTATCTCTGAGGCATGGAGTAAGGACATGTTGAAGAGCAATACCCACTACTAGCCACCGGCGCTGCTCCGGAGAGCTTCCTGATGAGGGCGACGCCATTCAGGAAAGCTGTTGGTCCCCTAGGTGGATTTAGATAGTTAATTGTCTACAAAGGGGAGATAGATGTGACTCTTAATCTCTCTACTGTGTCGTTTGGACCCTACGATAGAGAAAAAATTGGGAGAATTTAGAATAAAACTTGACTACCATACCACAGTGCTTTGCTCATTTGCAAATCACGTTATAAGCCAACATTTAGGCCGGTACTCTGATATAGAGCTTATATAAAAGTGTCGGAAAAAAATATTTTCAATCATTCGACAGGCTGACCGTTTTTAGGCCGCCGTTACAAATATACAAACTCCTCTGTATCATAATCCAAATTCCTTACACTATTTTATAACAGGAATTACGGCTAACTCTAATTAATTCCCTCACCCGCATCCCCGTATACTTGGTTAATCTTTGTGAGGGGACGTCAAGGAAAAAAAACTTCGACGTTTCTCTTTATTAGAGATATCAGTTCGGAGACTTCGGAAAAACAACAATTTTTTCGTCCACTTGTTTCGACATGATTTTGTTTAGCGTGACCAATTTCGATGCCCAGTATTATACTAGAATAATCAAGAATGGATATTTGCCGTAGAAAGAGCCGCAATGTCTGGGGTAGGGTCGATAAGTGGTGTTGTGCGTGAAACAGCAGCATTTTCGATCCTGGAATATACACAGCTGTTTCGAGAAAGGTTGTCGGGAGAAGTGCACGCCACAATCCCGAAAGTTATTGTGGTGGTTTTGAGTTCACTGTTCTTCAAAGAAATTTGAAAGAAGTGCACGAGAAGCCATGGACATATGCTTGCGAGTGCTAAAGGAAAGCAACAAAAGTAGGTTCGACAGCTACAGTGTGAGGAACAGTGTATTGATCATATCCAATTACTTTTCGGGATTATCGCGTGCACATTTTTTCGGACAACCTTTCCCGAAATAAATGTATATTAGACGTGTTTTGCAAAATAGCTGCTCCTGCACGCAATCCATGTCTAAGATTAGAACCTGACGTTGATTATTCAGTACTCGTTGATATCTTATGCTATGAAACCTTGGATGCAAACTCACAGAACATACAAGAAATATCCTCGCAGATATTGATGCTAAAATGAGGAACATTCTTTGCATTAATAAGACCTTATTAACGAAAATACAGGGTAAATCGTCGACAGAGTTAGTAAAAACGTTATTATGTAAATACCATTCTACATTATTCGACTTCTGAAAGAACCAAATCTGTCACAAGTAACGAAAAAAGCTGTCGATTTTTAGCTTTGCTTCGGCATCTTTCACCACTTCCGGGATTCTCAATACTAGTAACTTACCTCCTACTGTATTAAGCGTTCCCGTTGTGATCTTCTCGAAAGATTTATCGTGGCCTTAACCAAAAATGGCGGTCCCTCCGGCTAAACGCAAAACCGAAAGTGGTTCTTGTCTAAGATCCAGGATATTGAAATAGTTTCGCTCGAACAAGTCATATATCCTCCTTAATGGAATTCACGCTCGATCAGACATTACTTGTTTAATTATTGGCGGTGGTAGTTCAGTGAAGTTTTGTTTAATATCCAGCTGGAAAGTTAACAAACCTTAAAATCGAAATGAGAGAGGAAATTTTGTACATTAAATGTATGAAACTGATCAAGTATTTTACTTGACAATTTGGTGACTACGTTTGTTGTCTGGACGTCAAAGCGAGCTTGCCTCATTATTCTGCGCAGCCTATGCGTTTCGGATCACATGGTACGAGCCAGTTTGTGAGTTCGTCTTGGATACGTCATCGGAATCGGTTGACCGAGAAGGACTGGGCAGACGCCGTACAGCGACTGGGCACGAAACAAGACATAAGGATTCGTTTACGCTCAATTCGCCTCTAAAGAAACAAGAAAATAAACTGGGCCGAGGTCACTTTCGCAAAGACTTCTGGGACTGTTACTAGGGAGAGGAAATAATATAGAGATTTTGTAAAATCCAACTAGTGGTCTATTATCAATGCTATGTTCTGATTGGTTGAGCTACTACTGGGCTATATGTTATAGCCCCAGTAGTAGCGAAAAGCGCGGGCTTTTTGGCGGCAAAAAGGATTAAAGTCTAGCTTTAACTAGCTTATTTTTTTTTATTCTCGATATTTTTGACCAACTAGTTGGATTTTACTAAAACAATTATTCCTCGAGCCCTCATGGCCTCTGAGTCAATAGCCATGGTCAATAGCCTATTGACTCAGAGCCCATTCGGGCTCGAGAAATAATTGTTAAATAGCCCGGGCTAAGAACGAAGCTCCCCATAATATTTATAGTTTGCTCAAACAAAACGTAAAATCGTGTAATGCTAAGAGGCGAAGGCAACGAGAACGGTGAAAAAACAAAAATAGGTCTCATCAGCAAAAAGGCAATTTTGCACGTGCAGCACAGTTTCTTTGTACTTTTCTTTACCGTTGTTTGCACGACTGCAACGTGAAACTTCCCGAAGCTTCCTGGTTACATGTTTTCTGGAAGAAATGTTGTACGTGTTCTTGTTCACTTTTTGTCCACTGTCGCTCAGTTTCACCCAGGTGGCCGCTAGCATTTCTCATTTTCTCACCGCCGCTACAAAATTTCATGTTGCTCCTCCAACAAAAAATGTCTGCTTTGTTTTTTCTATCTCGCTCTGGCTCTTTTTCTCGTCGAGCTTCGCTGGCCTGTCGCCTTACTTTCTCTTTTTCTCTGTTTTCCAAATTTGTGGACATGACAATTAATCTAACGTTAATACTTTAGACAACAGGATACAGAAACAATTTCCGCTTTCGTCTCTACTGACTCTTTAGTTGTCTCCGCTTCACAAGACGAGGGCTGCCATACGCTTTCCCGCCACAATAACCTGACATTTAACATTGGCTTACATGAGGTGGTTGTACGGACGGTCGGCGTTTGTAGGCTACGTCATAACCAAATTTTCTTGCTCTCATAGGTTACCAATTTATCTTAGCAATGGGGCTCCGCCACGCGCGCTTCGCGCGAGGGAGCTCCGCTAAAATGGTCCAATAGCTGACCGGCGCGTCCCCAATAACGATCCCAGAATGAATTGCGGGACACATTTCGTCACCAGTCCCCTTCTCGTTTCTGAAGTAGCTAATAGCATGCCAAACGTTCGGTTAATCCTCACTGAACTAACAATATCACGTGAGAAAAAAAACAATGAATGCATCTTAAGTATTTCATGTACAATTTATTGAAAAAATATGATAACAACAACTATATACTGTTTCATAAAACATTCATTTGTTTTCGTGCTTATGCGGCAACAAGCCATACCGTTAGCCAATGAAAACTGGACTTCTATAAATATTAACAATTATAAACGAGTACAGAGAAAGAGACAGTACCATCAGATTTCTTTACCCAAGGAAGCCGATCCCATGCTTTTATGACATGTGAATTTATTAAAGTCAGACTTAGCAATATGAATACTTATTGTTCCATAGTCATAGAAACTTATTTCATTTGATCTTGGGCGAGGAATGCATCGTTTTGTAGCCTTAAAAATTTAAACTCGACAGCAGTTTGTGGAACCGCTATTTTGAAAACCTGACAAAATGATTTGCCTCATAAATTTTGTTTTTGGCCTTTTGAAAACTTCAAGTGTGGGAATAAACATTAATTCATAATTACATTTTCTTCGCAACGTTTCAAACAACAAAAACGCTCTTTTCCATTTCTGAAAGCGATGAGTTCACCGTGAATCTTGCTTCCAAATAATAATTCTAATAGCTGCAGCATTTACACTTCATAATTTTGTGAAGTGCATCTGTTCGACGGAAATCCTTTACCCACTTATCGGCATACTGCACTACTGCAGCCGGAAGCTTTAGAGATGAGGAAGTTCTCTGGCTACACAGGAGGTGAAGATTCATGATGGTATTGCCCGAGGTCAAACTCCAAAACCCAGTTTGAAGGCCAACTCTACCACAGATTGAGGCACTGACTGGTGGTGACACACGTACAGTTCACGCGGATGATCTCCTGGTAGAAGCCGTCTAGGTTCAACAGAAGAAAGTATTATGAATTAGCTTTTAATATCACTCACATTTGACTTAAACGTGCTGGTATATGCTTTCAAGCGCAGTTTCCTTCCCTTCCGAGATATTATTTTAAATAACACACTCCAATAGGCCATTTCCGAGTTCCAAAATCTCTCACTTTCAAAACGAGGCTAAGTGCAAAAACCTTCTAAGGAAAATGAGTTTTTATGGATGAGAATAAAAACTCATTTTCATATCGATGGCTTCTTACTTAGCCTCGCTTAAAAACAGAGGCTTGGGCAACAACAAATGGCCTATTGGTCAGCTTGCCGCAACAGACGGCTCTTTCACACCTCAAATATATACAATGACGACAAGAAGAAGAAGAGAAAAAAAGAAATAGCAATAAAAAGAAATACGAAGAAAGTAAACTAAAAGGCAACCTCTTACTGCTCCCACCTAGAGCTTGCCTATTTCCTCGTAACAGTTCGAATTCTTTCTAAACGTACCCGATAACCCAATACTTGAAGATTGATGGAGACTTCTTTTGTTCAGTTGCGTTGTCTGGAATTCGGTGGAACATCACGCCATGTTCGACCACATCCTCCACTACGGTACATGTAAAACGTGCGTTGGGATTTTTCTGCTTTAAGCGCTGTTGAAGGGAAAATGATATTACAATAATTGCTTGAATTTGGCTCCAGTTTTCGCATATTTGTGCAAAATACGCATTACTGTTATTACAATCAAAATCAACAGTACGAGCGGTAGCAGTCTCCTCAATTAACACCTCGTATAAGGTACACTGCCACTTTAAGAAAGAAAAAAGCAAATCGCGTCACCATGAGCTCATTTCCAACTCTCTACAAATTAGCGAACAAGAAATTACTCAGTTATTGTAAAATGGTTTTTCGACATACCTGCTTGTAATAAGGAGAAAATAATCTACGCATGGAGAGACAGGTTTTCTGGAACGTGTTCACCACCTCTGCATGTACCAGTCCTCCCGTAGTGGGCGCATCGCCATCATTCGGACAGACTACAATGCCATGAAATGAATCCCAGCTCACATAATGAAACAAGGTGTTATCTATACCAGCAGTCAACCTAGCATGACAGAAAACACAGTCAACTATATATGGTCGTGTGTTGGTTGTAGTTTAAGTTTTTTCACTTAAATTATAATAATTATGGAAGCAAAAATAATACACGAAAAAGTCACGGATAAACGTGGAGCGCAACAAAACCACAACCTAAACTCACACAAACTGAGAAAGGGTGTACATGAATACTATTTTGCTGTTTAAAATAATATTGTGGGTGAAATGTCAGAACAGAAATCAGCCAAGCTAGAGCGATTCTCGTATAACCTTGAAAAATAGTTTCGGTGAGTGTTCGTTATTTGTTTTATCAGCCAATGGATGGAAAGATCAAACCATGGCCTCCTTGTTATCCCGCCAAAGAAAACCCTAATATGGAGAAGGCATTGTTCGATTGACCAATCGTGTTGCAGTATGACGTCAAAGCAAAGTATCGGCTCAGTTGATTTCTAGAAAGTTCTCGGGCATGAAGTGTTTTTTACCCGAGCGTTCGCTTAATCAAACAAACTCGACGCCCGTTTATATCCGTTTAATAAACCAATCAAATCGCTCTATTTCCGTTCGTTTGTTCGCTTCTGTTTGTTCGCACATTTTCATATCAAGGTCATACGAAAATCGCTCTATTTATTGGGAACCTCAGTACGAAACCACGACGGCGACGGCGACGGCGACGGCGACGGCAGCGGGAACGTCGAAAACACAATTGGTTTAGACCCCGTTTACACGGGTCTCGACAAATGTTTCAATGGACAAATTTTTTCCCGTGCAAGCCGTCTACACGGAACCGTGCAAATTCTGCTACAGATTGCAGCACTGTTTGCCCTTCAAAAACTCATGCAAGGTCTCGCAGGTCCCTTGTAAACGTAAGGCAAATCGGTGCAATTTTTTTTTCCGTTTAAAAATTTTTCCAGACCCGTGTTAACGGGGTCTTAGTAAGCAAAACGAAAGCTCTGCACATGCATCATAAAAACTAACTTCGCCCAACTAACGAAAACTAACTTCATTGACTTGAAAAAGGTAACGACAAATGCAATACTCGGACGGGGTACCTTCTCGGCTCTCCTAACTGGATGACATGGTATTATAGCGAAAACGTTTGAAGTCAATGTTTCAGCGACGTTTTCATTGGCCTCAAGGCCCTTAACATCCTAACTTTGACGGTTTTACTTACTTTCCTGTGACCACTTGAGACAAGTCCGGCATATTTTCAGGTAAACTCTTTCTGAACGTTCCTGCAGAGTTGAGAGAAAACTGAGACCGCAACGATCTCAGTTTACCTTTGGCTCCGAAGCTGCCCAGACTTCCAGAACTATCGGATCCTGTGCGGCGAATAACCGAGGGTATACTCCCACTATCATTAGAATCTACTTCATCTGAAAAGCGATAATGTGAGAAGACAAGGAGCTTATTTGATTTGGTGTAACACTGTTTTAAATAACCACAAATGAGTATCTGGTTGGACTTTCAATTATCTGACTAACTGATTAATTGATTGAATGACTGACTGAATGAATTACTAACTGTTGGCTCACTCCTTGACTGAATGGGTAGTTCCAAACAGAATGATCGACTGATTGGCGAAGAGCTATCAATTGAAACGGAAGCTTTCAAATCTCTTTCGATAAGGTGGACAATTAAACTTTTTAACTTGACCGACCGACAGATGTGAGTGTTATACTTCTGTGACTGACTGACTGAGTGATTGTTTTGCAGAGTGACTGGCAGACTTACCGATTCAATAACTGCTGAATGGCTACCTGGCTAAGGGACTGGCTAACATTGACTGGACTGGAAAACAAACTGAAAGGCTAACTGACTGCTGCCTTGCGCAAAATTCAAAAAAACTTATTGACTGATTGACAACATGTAAATGACTTCCTAATGCCTGGCGGATTAGTTCACTGACAAACTGCTAACTGTTAAGCGAACGTCACTAAATAAGAGTACAAGTACCTTGTAGTCTCAAGTTATCTAAACTGCCGTGCTTTTTCTGTGAGCTGGGAGTGTCGGAGCCACCAAAGCTTGAAGACGACTTCTGTAGCATTGTCGTTGGGGGACTTATAAGCAGGGCGTCAGCTGAGGCCAGTGGAGGATTGCGAGGGCTCCGTAAACTGAAAAAAAATAGTAGTATATGTACAACAAAGCAATAGGTAAGGAATAACTTGCGAAGATATAGCAAGTAATCCTAGTACATATTCCGTCCAATCCTAAGGTTAGCACTCCATGCCGCGAATGAAGAAACGGGCAGAGGGCTGTATATCCGTGTCGAATTCTGATTCCGTGGGTTGTATTTAACTCCTTAAATGTAGTTTTCTTGGGCTACCAGAACGCACGATATTTCACGGTATACCACTCAAAAACAGGAAAAGGTCAGCAAAGGAGCACACTAATATTCAACTATCTTGATCACGATTTGAAAGCCGTGGGCTTGAAGTCACATCGCTGTGAAAATCTTTTTGAAATGTTCGGTTTTGCACATTGAATTTTTAATTAATTATAGTTAGCAGCTTAAGTCTGTCACTAACTTAAACAGCAAGCACGACCACGAGTTGGCTGAAAGAAATTTCTATTCGAGGTTTCGCGAAAGTTTTCCACTTAAACAACTTAACTGAAAATATCTGCTCTGACAGTAAAACCTAGCGTTTTTATCACTGTAAATTCTGTACATAGAACGTAAAAGCTGTATCTACGTTTAATTATGCACTGTACCTTGCTTCCCAAAGAGAGGGAATGTCCATGGATTCAATTTGATGCAAAGTGTTTTTGACTTGATCCACATAGTAAGTATTCGGTGGGGGGTGGCCCTCAGCCCTTCATAATAAATAAATAAGTAGATAAATAAATAAATAAATAAATATAAATATAACATAATATAGAAACAACAAAAGGAATGAGATGTATGTAAATTTCACCATAACTTATTTACAATGCGACAGAGTTCTAGCTGAGAAAGTACACGAATTCAAGTGAAGGCTTCGAGCGTAACACTACAGACAAAATAATAATAATAACAAAAAACTGAAATGTTCATATGAGGCCTTAAACTACTGTCCGTTTTAAAACAATAAAAATCCAAGCTTTTGCCGATCAACGGCGTCAACAGGGATGAGAAAATACTCCACGTGGCGCTATAAATATATACAAAATTGGTCTAAGGTAAAATGTGTAAAAGTTGAATACAATATACATGTCACGGTCTAATGACCAAGTGCCTCTGCACAAGGGTCTCTCTAAATGCATAAAATATTTGTCTCTAAAACACTAAAGACAAAATTATGACACACGTAGTAAAGTTACTTGCAATTCAATATATGTAACTTCCTCGATCAGTATACTTACCGTTTTGAGATACCTCCCGCCTCTAATAGGACACACATGAGCCAATGTTTCTAAACAAAAAAATGTAATAGTTTATTCATAATACTAATCTATCAAAATTAATGTGGTTTTCTCTATATTTAACTTTGTTACAGCGATAAGAATAGAAATAATATTATAGATAAAAAGTCTCTTTACTTTACTAGGTCAGGGCTATAAAGCAATACTTCTATATACATTTATTTTTGTACACTTAGGCAGGTCTGCTTGCATGGGAGTGGGGTTGAGAGATGCTTCATTAAATCTCAGAATCAGTAGGCATCAGATTGCTGAAGCAGGCGTCAGTTTAAGACAATTCTCACAATCACTAAAGTGAAAAACAAGACAAAACAGGGAGCAGTTTAACTTAACTAAAAAAGAAATCCACACAACAATAGTAGCCAAATTCTTATAACAGCAACCTTAGCTGGTATTCAACCAAGACACCACCTGTAAATTGTCAGTGCTCTTGGAAATGTTCCCACATGTTATCTCTTACCCTGAAAACTCTCCCTGTATACCACCACCCTCCCTTTTCCCTCTTTTCTTAAACCAATACTACATAAATCACTATAGGCGTGTCTTACCATGCCTACTATGAGCAAGAAATATCTTGCTGAAGGTTCACGATACTCTTTGTCCTCTTCTCTTCTACTCTTAGAACTTCTTCTTGTTGGAAAAACCTGGAGACAATTTATTTTCAAGTAATGTGAACAGTGCTCGAAAAACAACAACCACAAAACTTGAATTCTAGCACTGCGTCCTTAGGGCAAGCACTCACGTTTGTTTGCCAAGGGCAGCTACTTGCTTGTCTTAGCGTATGATTTTGTTAGGGAATGACTTGCCTGGATCCTTGCCCGTCAGGCAAGTGAGCAAATTAAAAGTTTTGTTGCCCAGTAAGAAAAGCTACCCAGTGTCCCACACAACCAGACAGGACTTAGTTTTGAGCCCTAGTGAGCAATCAGAGTGATCTTCTCAACTTTGTTCTCAGGGTTCTCTCCTACCCGTCCGGTAGGACAGAGAACCTTGGAACGAGGTTTTGATCTTCTTGCTTTTGTACCTACACGAAAACGTGTAGGGTGAAAACTAAGCATATACAGTTGGACCCTACCAAGCAACCACCCTTAGGTAAGGGACGAGTGGCCACTTTTAAAAAGGTTCTGTTTACAGTGACTAACGAAATCTGACAAGATCATACAATGGGGTGACTGTGAATGGAGCCAAGTAATACGGTTAGACTACACCTTGAATCAATAATATATATTTAAAAAGCCGGTAATTTAGCTTAACTGAGCACAGATGAAAAAAAAAAAAAGAAAAGAAAAAGACAAATCGATCAATAAATAAATCAATGAAAATGAAAATGAAACAACCTACCTCCCTCCAGATAACAAGTTGTCCAACACGCTGCTCTGCACTCATGGCCAGTAAACAGTGATATTTACAATATAATACAACATCTTCTAAATCTTCTCTTGGTAAATGATTAGCAACTAAATATCCCTGCAAAGTGGTAATGGGAAATTTATAAAAAATATACTCAAACAATAATGCTTTTAGTTGATTTTATAATTTCTTGTATCATGAGGACAAATTTTTGCTGCCGACATTCACAAACTCAAGCGCCCCAATTAGTATTGCTACATTCTACTACAAATTCAAAATGCATAAGAGTTTTATATAGGCAATAGAAACAGATTCACAGAATGCCTGACAAAAATTATTTATCCATACCTTATAAAATATGCTAGATCCTAAAATTGTATATAATCTTCTAATTTGAAAATAGTCATCTGCCTGAAGGGAAATGAAAGAAAAAAATGTAGTTGTAAAGACAAACTACAGAACCCCTCAAATGTAAGTTGGCTTTAACTCCTTCTTGCTGTTCTCATTGGATCAAGTGCAATCACTTGGGTTGAGGTTTACACCTTAGAATTGTTTAGGTTTTTTAAAGGATGGAACACTTGAAGGAATCACTTATTGGGATAAAACCGACTTACAAATTCTCCATAATCAGCTGCTTCCAATTCACTGAAGCAGCAATGAACATCCACCTAAATACAGCATACAAACAAAATATATTAAAAGGACTGCTATGAAGTGCATGACTGCATTGTTAAAGAATGCAGTGCTCTGAGAAACATTCTAGGGAGAAATCTAGGGTGTCCAGCATATGATTTCTATACAAAAACTAAGAATTCCTAGTTGCCCAAGATAAAAAATGGGGTGCCAGGGGCCTTGAGTGATGCTAGAGCACAGCGCTGTCAACATGATACATACTCTACATGTATATCAGTAAAAAAAAAAAGATAACAATTAAACACTCAATATGAATTCAACAACCGTTCTCTTCCACTGTTAACATTAACAGTGTGCTCTTTCCTTTTTAAAGTAAATAATTTTCATAAAAAAAAAGAAATATTATTATAACTCATGAGGACAGACTGACCCAAATAATTGAACAATATGCTTTCATTTAGAACTCAGTGGGTGCTCAGCCACAAGCCTACCTCCGTAGTTAAAGGTAGATTCAGCCACTGGACACCAGGAAAAATATCTGGAAAAGTAACATTTTGGCCATCTTTATCTGCTGCACCGGGAGGCTTTCTTAGAGCTTTCTCAAACAACAGGAAGAAAAGGTGGTCCAGCCATGTTTTGTTTATCTTGTCATAGAACGCCCTGTACAACAAGTTTTTGATTTTCATGGTGTTCAGGAAAAGGCCATGAAACATATACAGATTTTTCATGGTGTACAAATTTGTGGCAATTTAATGGGATGGAAAATTCATGGGTCATGATTATCCCCTTAACGGGGAATTTTTAATGGGCCAAGAAGATCTCAGAGTACTTTTCTGACCTTTTCACCACATTTTTCTGGCCCATGAAATGTATTTTGTGTCTTGTCCTCTGACATTTTCATGGGTTAAATTAATGGCTAAATGGTACCATGAAAATGGCGTTAAAACCCCATTGAAAGTTAATCATTTCAAAAACTATGCTTACCTTAATCTTTCTCAATGTGCTTTCTATCTTATTTAGAAGAGTATGATTATAAAAAACTTGGAAACAAAGACAATTCTGAATCAAACTAGCTTGAATACTGATTCAACCTAAGAATGACAAATTTTACCTGCAACATACACATATATGCCATACCTGGTCTGGTTCATTATCTTCTTCACTGGAGGTGATTGTCAAATACAATGCAACATGAGTAATGCTCTTGAGATCAGGTTTGGAAGGTGCTGGTGCCTCTCTACTTATCAACTTGATGAGGTGACTGTCATTCTTGGGTGGGGTCTGGTGAAGTATGACTGGTGAGGATATCTTGGGCTGGACAAGTCTTTGTATTTTCAGAGTAATCTGAAAGAATTTTTGTAAAGGTTATTTTTTAAGACTGTCATTTAACAGAGAAGGTACATGGACAACTGAATTGGCTTAGATATTTGGCGTTGACAGACTCTATTTCCTCCACTGAGAAAAAGATGCAGAATAACCTTAAAATTAATTAGCATTTACATGTAAAGGGGTATACACTGTAGAATGGTAAATTTGAGACTAGGGGAGACTGCGAGACTCTGGTTTCAAAATTTGAGACCCAGAAATAAGCATTTTTATCAAAGCTGGGCCAAAGACTCTACATCGAAAAAAACTCTCAGTGCCAGATGATATTTTGAGAGACTGGTACAAATAATTAAAAGCTAAATAACATGATTTTTAAACATGTAAACTGAAATAGTTTCTTTGTTTTTACATTTTTTGACGTACCGGTAAGTGTATTCTATACCACTGTTTAAATTTGTACATTTTCTCGATACTGATAAGATTTCTGGTGGATTACACAATTGGATGCAAGTTGAGATCACCTCTGTGAATTGCATCATATTGCATAATGACAGAGGACCTACTGATAAGCTTTAATGCAAAGTGCAGAGATGTCACTAAGGGCTAGGGGGCAGGGATTTCCCAGGGGATGTACTTCAGATTTCAAGTGACCGGTATGATCAAATGGGGGCAAAAATAAAACCCAGCAAGAATATCCCTAGGGCTCCCAACAAAACCCCAAAATATCCCATGCTGATCTTCTGAACCTTAAAAATTTCTAAATTAAAGTTATTTCCACAAGAAAGGTTAGTTTGCACTTTGCGTTATGCTGAAAGTGAGGGTTTTTAAAACTTGGGGATTTTTGAAACAAAGGAGAATAGAATTTCAAACAAGAAGAAAATTGAACCATCAAAGAGATCTATTTCTGTATAACTTATGCAGATACATGTATAAGTTACCTCCATTGGACCCGTCAGATGGCAGCAAGAATTGTATGAACATTGCTAGAGTTAAGATCCAGTTTATTCAATGAAAGAAGGACATCACCTGAAAGATAAAAAGCGTAGTAATGACATATATTATCAAGACTTCTGCTGATTAAATGTACATTATGTCCACAAGCAATAAATGTGTATCTGCCAACTGTTTCTGAGTTGAATTCATGAAATTTTTGTCTTGTCAGAGCCATGATTTCTAGAAATGTCCTAGAGACTACCGCAGATGTCCAACAACTTACTCAAGACTTCCAAATGTCGAAAATGTCCACAGATGTTCTGAAGACCTTTGAGCATTTCTGATGGTATTTAAAAGGCAACAGTTTTAGCGTTTTGTGATACAGATAGGACCCTTAAGGGCCTTTTTTAGAATGTTTTCAGGAAAATTGCATTCAATTTTCATTATTTTTCATTTGATAAAGAACAATTCGTCCACTAGATTTCTGAGTTAGGTGTGAGATCGATGTCTTTAGTCTTCAGGCATGAGACTCACACAAACCCGTGAGAGTTTCCAGGTATAACCACCCACTAAACTCACCATCACAATACATGTGTTGTGTGACAACTGAAAAGTCACAATGTTCAATTTACATAAACATATTCAAGGTTCCCCTTGGAAATATAACAATGATCTAAGCATGCATACCTATTCTCAAATCTCCACTGCGCAAAGCAGGCCCATCAGGAACAAAACCCTTGATATAGAGCCTTGATCCTGAATAGCTATCAGTCTGAGACAGTTTTCCAGCTTTATCTCTCCCAGGAATAATACCAAGCAACATTTCAAAGTCATTCTTTGATCCAGAGTGAGCCTTTCGAGGAGTTACAATCAGTTGTACCTCTTTCATGAAAAAGCGCCCAGTCAACCTGTTGAGACTATTTATTCCCTCCACGACTCCATAAGAACTCGAATGTTTTAATTCTTTTCATTATTGCTTTTATCGTCGACTTTGTCCCGCTTCAACCCGGGAAATATTTTCTTCACCGAGTTCACACCTCTAAGCTTCCCTTTCTCCCGGCCATCTTCAAAGCCGTTGTCAGAACGGTCAGTCGTGAGTTTACGCAACAGGACGCAGGAAGAAGAGGACGGCAAAATGTTTGTGTGTGACAAACTCGACAGGGCTATAACTTGCATGTTATGTCGTGATCTTCACTTGGCGTTAATGTTTTCTTGTTTTTACAAAAAGATCTGTTTAAAGGAAAGTGATGTTTGGCGAAAAGTTATTCCAAACAAAATTGTTGTCACGGTTGTCACACAAGGTTTGCCGTCTTCTTTTCTCTCCCGTCCTGTTGCGTAAGTTCACTAGTGTAAAAGGAAGACTGCGGACTGCAGACTGCAGACTGCGGACCAGGGGTAAAATGCAGACTGAGTGTAAAATGCAGACTGCAGACTGAGAGTAAAACGCAGGCTGGGTGCAAAATGCAGAATAAAGACTGTAGACTTTTTCAAACACCTTAATTGTGCTCCTTCTTCTCCAAATCGGTGAAATAGCTAGCCGGTATCAGTTACACACTTCGCTTCCTAGTCGAAGTGCATTGCACATTCGCCAGCAGGGACCGCGCAGAGGGAGGGGCTGGGGGGGCTTTAGCCCCCCACTTTTTTGCAAGAATAAAAATAAATTAAACAAAAAATAATTTAACAGAAGTAACGGAGTGAAAAATAGCAAAAGATCGTTAATTCGAAAGTGACCAGAGTTACTGGCAAAGACAAACGCGCAGATAAATAGACAGAATGAAGCATTAGTCGTTACAATTGTAAAATATTTTTTCGCTTCTAACCTAGCAGAGGTAAACGTCTTTCAAATGGCTTCTTTTTCCTGCGGACCTCTCAGGAAAACGCGTTGTTTCGTAATTGGTCAATTTCGATCCAAAGTAATAACTGGGTTTAGTTTATAAGGCGATTCTAAAACAAATTGTTTATTAGTATCAACCTTGAGTTTTGGAAGATCATGAAGTTATTGTTTCTCTTGTTATTGTGCGTCCTGATTTTAGTTCGATCAGCGCGAAGTCCGTCTTCTGATGTCAGGCTTCACGGCTCGTTGAGCATTCCAATTGCAAGTTTTGTTGAACGCGGTCTGTTTGTAAAAACATTTTGTCATCGAAAGTACTTAAACCGCAGAATTGTGTATAGCTCTGGTCATCAAGGAACATTCAATCGGGCGGTTATTACGAACAAAGAAGTGCACATGGTACACGGCAACATAAATACGAACGACGAGACTTCATATACCACTAGTAATGCAAAGAAGAGATCTCTTAAAATTTCTCATTACTTTTCCAAACAAAATGGAAAACCTTCTTTATCTGGTGAGTAAACTCTGCATAATTTTTGCTACTTTTTTCTGAATCTGTTCTATAATTGAATTTTCATTCACTAAATTATTTTCAGTTACCGTTTTGTTTTGCCGTGTAAATATTTTGAATGAATAATTAAACAATTATTGAACTCGGCTTTCGTATGATATGAAGATATAGAGATCTCGGAGGGTGTTATCCACCGGGCTCAAGCCTTCGGCTTTGGCCGATAACCCCCTCGATCTGCATAACTCTTCATATCATACTCAGCCTCGTGCAATAATTGCTCAGTAATTATACAGCCTTGAGTTCAAGGCAGCTCAAGCAAAATCGTTGGATTTCTGGCTTATTTATAGTAATTAAAGGTTGATATCAGTAGCATAACATAACAATCTATGATATTTCAATTTAGTGATGGTGAATTTTCAGACCCGATAGCAACATCACTGAAGATGTGGAAAAAAATCAATAGTTTTATCGTTATTCGCATTCTCCGTCACTTTAGAGAAATTGAATAGAAATCCACAAGCATGCCACCCCCCCGGCCCCACAAAAAAATTTTCCTTCACGCATTCTTCTTTAGCCCCCCCACTCGAAAACTTGCTGCGCGGTCCCTGGCCAGAAGTTTCAATGAACATCCGAACAGCTGGTCTGCGTACTTGATTGGCAATACTTTCATAGAAGGTCATCTAATAAATTTCCTGCAGAACATCTTTCCTTGTTGTTAGAATGATTATTACTCCCTTTTTTATCGCTAAATTCTTCCTGTACAGTATTTTGGGTCAGCAGCTTTCATTTAAGCGTAACCATGGTGGTGTTGTACCAATTCACGGTCCCTGGTCACGCAGTATCGAAAACTTGGCATCTAAAGTTGAAGCGTGAGGTTTAAAAAAGGTTCAAGATTGCGATTATGTTTTTGGGTCGTCGACGACATTCCAGAGAAGAAAGGAATGGATTTGTGAAGGAGATGTCGTCAAGTAAGCAAGTAGTGTTCGATTACATGTATTTTTTGGGGGGGGATTTTTTTTGCCCTTATTAAACCTTTCCACGAGACCACGACTACAGTTTATTATCGGTCTGCATTTTACCACAGCCTGCGTTTTAGTCTCAGTCTGCAGTCTGCATCAGCTGCATTTTACACACAGTCTGCATTTTACCCCTGGTCTGCAGTCTGCAGTCCGCAGTCCGCAGTCTTCGTTTTACACTGACCGATATGGTAATTCATCGTCAATAATTAATTGTTACTAAAAATTTTCAGTGTACTTTACATTTCCAATTTCTTTTCCATCAATTAGCATTATTCAATAACTTTTTCTTCTTTGTTTTGAAAGCTTTGTAGTGAGTTTTCTTTTCATCTGATGAGAGTTTGTCAGCAGAAAGACACACTGCAATATCATTTAGTTCTTGATTTGTGATATTATATGAGTATGTATATTCTTATGGCTAAAAAATAAACTTGTTTCGTCCGCAAAAAGAATGAAATTTAAAATATTGCTCTGACTTACGTGACTCATAAAGATAAGAGAGAGTTAGAGTCTTGAAACAGATCCTTGAGGTAGCCCAGTGAAGCCAATAAAAAGGTGAATTGGAAGTAGCCCGGTCAAATAAACAGTTTGAAATGTTTCCTGTCTTCAGAAAAATTCATGAAGGCAATTTTAAAAATGTTCTCCAAATTCTTGATTGTTCGGTTCGAACATGCTGTCATCTACTAGCAAGAGATTCATCCACTTGCGGTGGTAATTACCATTCCTGGACTTCTGGAAATTCGTGGGTAAAAATTCGAAGCGTTTTAGCATCTTGAAATGCCGCCCAACAGTACAATTTCTTCGTGAAAGTCATTCTCTTCCCCATCATTCCGCACTCCATTATTAAATGAAAAAGTTGTGGTTTACAGCTAACCCGAAAATGGACATGGTGGCTGCGATCATAAAGCAACATCCGAGCTTTATTAGGATCCTGTTCATCACTCAGAAGCCCTCTCGAGTCTGTAACAAGTCCGCCGAACTCATCCGTCTCAGAGGTTTGGATTTTCACAACAAAGCGACTTCCATCCTTAGGTGGAGGAGGATAGTAATCTGGACCACTAGGGGCCAGACTCGAGTGGCTCTTGTTAAAAGTTACATGATAAGAACCGTCATTAGGAAAACCCTCAGCAACCTTCACCTCTATGGTGTTCCTTTGTCCAGTAGCTTTGCAGGTATACTGATGCTTTTGCCAGTGTAGTTTTTGGCAATTTTTGCCACAATACGTTGCTGTCATGCAACGCTTACAAGGTTTCAATTTCAAGTCGCGTCGAAAGCAAAAGACACAATGCGTCATCACTGCAGCTGGCTTGAAACTTTTTTGTCCATTGTCATTTTGGACACAGTGGTTAGAACTAACCTCTGCCAATACCATATTTGGAAGGGACACATTTCCCTCTGAAAACACTCCTCTCCAGAAACATTCTCGTAATTCCTCGGAAAAACTGTAGTTTTCAGAGTAACGAAGTCCTTCATATAAGGCTGGTCCGCAATTGTCGTGGATATAGTTGTTTATTACTACACAGGGTGGCTTTCCTGGAGCTTGGTAACCAAATCTTATACCACCCATTTTGTTGTTGCAAATCTCATTGCTTTTGTACACCCCACCGGCGTTGTTGTGGACACAAACTCCCCACCAAAGGTTTTCAAACACTTTGTTGTTTTCGACCAGAATGTCATTAATATTAAATGTCACGCGGATGCCAATGGTGCCATTGTGATAAATCTTGTTCCTTCGCATGATAACGACGGCGAAATCATGAGAAACCCACTTACATCCACCTGCAACAACGCCTTCGTATTTATTATCATAGATTTCACAATCTGTTATTATTACAGTCTTTGCTGGAATACCAACTCGAGCTTCATCAACCCAAATTCCCCTGACATTGCCGTAGATGCGGCTATCGGAAACCAACAAACTCCCTTGGTTAAACACCCTTATTCCGTAAGCAAATGCGTTGTCTGCGCTTCCATGTCCACTTATTTCACATTTAGTCAGGAAAGCTGATGAGTTTTGTCCGTTAACGGCTATTCCACTGCCCTTGCTGTCCTTGACTGTGCACTCTATGAACTTTGCTGATGCACGATCAATGTAGACCACCATTACATCTGATGTACGATTCCGAAAAATGCATTTATGGAATTCCACATGAGCATCTGGGACAACACAAATACTGAGATTTGCTGTAAAGGCAATCTTATGGAAAAAGCACTTCTTGCGCAATGAAGGATTATTGCAGTTTATGGTGACATCTGACCTATTTTCCAGAGCCACCAATGCGATTTCTGTAATATCAGCGGTGTCGTGTAAATCATACTGTCCATTTCGAAGAAGGATAATTTTCCTTTCCGAAAATTCTTTTCCGGTACGTTCCATAGAGCGTTGAAGGCTCTCAGAGGAGGCAACAACTTCCCATCTACCGTCCAAGGCTTTAAACACATTTGCAAATGGTTCGTAACGACGACAGCAAGTTACATTATAGTTGTATGCAATGGCTGCAGTGCTTGAAGCGTAATCACGCAGTCCGAGTCCTTTCAAAGCCAAGGCTTTCCTTGTGTATCCCTTCCAGCAGGTAGGCAGAATCTCAATATAGTCTTCGGAATCTTGAAGAGAGCTTTTGTAATTACTCAGCTTGAGATATGTAGTTGCTCGATTATTGAGCAGACGTGGGTCCGGTCGCATTCCTTTCTCATACACTTCAAGGGCACTTGTGTATGCTTCCACGGCTTCTTTAAAACGACCTTGCTTGAAGAACGTGTTTCCTTGTAAACGAAGATCGTCTATGGCACGACTGTGCTCACTGGGGTCTTGTGCGTGTTTTGCGCACTCAATTGGAGGCCGAGATGAATACACCACGGTTTTTTTAATCATTTGATTAAGGGGTAAAACGAGTGGAAATAGTTTAGTTAAATCTTCTTTAGACATGGGGCCTTCAGCATTTGGACAAGAATCGAAAATACTAAATGCCAATCGTTCGGCTTCCTTGGCCTCAACTTGATGTCCGTGCACACTTAGGTGGACGGCATTTTCATAAATGACGCGCGAAGTTTCGTATCTTAAAACGACTGCCTTAACTTCTCTGTCGATGTCTTGCTGATACAGCAATGTTTTTAAATGGTGCTGTAACGCAGAAGCATGTGTGGCTAGTTTGGACCACAAATAAAATAGAGATTTATTTGTTATGAACGCTGAAGGTTGTTCGAGCTCACTTGATGTGATGTAAGAAGGGATCTCGTCTGGCGAATGGCCACCTCGAAAGGCCCGGTAAAGCAGTTTTACCGCTGTAAGCATCGAGGTGACAGTTTCTTGAATAGACATTTCGTTGCGAATGACTTCCTGAACCAGACGATGTAATCTCAGGGATCGGCAACTTTTCCGCTGGAAAAGTGAAAACTTGGTCAAAATGTCCACGATCTGATTCTTCACCAAGGGGAGGTTACAGCTTTGATCAGTGGAGAGCACTTCACAGATGACAAGCTCTTCGTTGATTTCATTGGATGCAAAGAAGGCCGAGGCTTTTAAGAATATCGATGCCAATTCTCCTCGCGGTGATTTTTTAACATATTCAAAGTTTAAAAGCCACGTGGTGTGCACAGCGAGTCTGTTTTTAGACTCATACTCCCAAGACGGTTTTGCACGCGGATGTTGACTTAGCAACTGCAGTCGCTGAATTCTGTACGCTTGAAGATAGTCTTTGATAGAGCACTGAAGAGCTTTGATATGTGCACCAGCTTGTTCTAAAGCAAGAGGAAGACAACCTAGCTCGCGAATCAGCTCATCTATATCATCTAACACCAATTCATTTTCTGTATCAGCACAACCACATCGGACTAAAAGGAACTCCTTGGCCTCTTCTTCTGAGAAGGAAAAGAGCTCAATACAGCAAGATGGGTCAATATCCACAGACCCACACACCTCCTTTGGTTCGCGTCTTGTTGTTAGAAGTATGTCACCACCTGCACGTCTTTTCCACCGACCAGACAGAACCGTGTGCATATTTTCAGAGAGGTGTAGCTGGTCGACATCATCAAGGACCATCAGCCATGATTTCTGTTGCTTGGAAATCTTCGTTAGCAGTTTGGACAGCGTGAAATCGAATGAATTTGCCTCAATACCTAAACGAAAAGCCAAGTCGTTTACAGAGTTTTCAAACTTTCTATCGTCCTCCATGGAGATCCAAAACACGCCTCCTTCGTATTCTTGTTCACGTTTCCACGCAAAGTGAGTAGCTAAAGTGCTCTTTCCACATCCCCCGAGACCACAAATGGCTGCCATCTTTAATTTGTTGTGTTCTTTCAGTGGAAGGCATCTTTCAAGGCTTTCAAATTCTTCTTCTCTTCCCGTAAACCACTTGATTTTCTCTGGAGCATCAAAGACTATCTCACTGGAATCGTCGGAACGTGGCATGCTATTCACAGTTGTTGTTAAGATATCCAACTCTTGTTGCATAAAGGCGCTTTTAACTTCCAAGCTTTTGCAAAGGCTTTGCACTTTTTGTGTCATTTCCCGGCACATCCCCACTTCCTTATTGCTTGTATCCAATTCGTCTGCGATCATTTCTTGCCTTTGCAGTAGTTTTTTGCATGTCATTTCCATGCCAGCTTGCTTTTCTTGGAGGGAATCGATGGCCTTATCGAGCTCAGTTTTAAGAAGGCCCAGGGTACTATCTATACGATTATTTTGTTCTTTATGTGTATCCAAGGTGTCTGAAAGTTGTTGAACTTCCTTGCGTATGAGTTTTAGTAGCGTGTCATCAAGTGGCTTGCCAAGACAAAGGTCCTGTCCTGTGACAAAAGAGTGGAGGCAAGTTAATACGCGATACTTTTTATCGCGATGATAATTATAAATGTTCCAGGTCAAATTTAATTTCAGGTTAGATTTGATTTACCCTAAGTTGATTTTTTTTAACCTAAGTTGATTTTTTTAACCTAGGTTATTCATAAGATACTGTTATATAGTTATGCAGTAAGCCATATTACATGGATATGTTTGTGGTAGCCACTAAGCACTGACCAAACTGATTAGGGTTAAGCACTGACAATACTGATTAGGCACGTACTTGAAATGGTTAGCATTTACTTAGGGTTAGGTTTGTCACTATAATTTATGTACTGTTATTACTTAAGTAATTTAAGCAGATATTGACAGCAAATCTGAAAGATTCGAAGTTCTTTCATTGACTTGTGACTCATTCACTTGGTGACTCAACGTGAAGAATTTTGGTAATGAGGACATTAGGGTGAAGAGGGGAGGCCTTATCTACTTTATCAATTTTTATCGCTACTATCTCATCCACTCTAAGAGAGGGTGTTTTTCCCCTTGTCGTTATTCATTTTTGTTTTATAATGCTCTTCATTTTCATTCACGCTGTTTTTAATTTTTTTCTTTGCTCTGATTGTGCCCTTTCCTGGTTTGATGAACTGTACAGCACCGCAAATGATCCCCAACATGGACCGCAAATGATCCCTTGAAAATTGAGGACTGTAATGGATCTTGGTTGGATATTAAATGAAGAATGAAGAATGGAGCTGTTTGCAACTTAACTTGCGAGGGGAAATGGAACCTTTAGCTCCTTCTCGCCCCCTAGAGGAGAGGGGAAGGAGGACGCCAGATCACAGGTTAATTTATACAACACGCAAAAAAATTAAAATAAACGGAATAAATCTAAAAAGGATATGATGTCAATCGTACTTCTTCCTTTGGCAATTGCTTCGTTTCTTCCCCGTGTAAAAATTTAGGACAGGCAGGGCGTTACTCATAAATACCTCTATTATTTTAACGCCTAGAAGCTCAACTTGTGTACTGAGGAATAGAAACCTGGTCGCCCTCTACATAGCAAAAGCTTTATTGACTTTTGGAAGTGCCGAATTAATTTTCAGAAAATTAAACTTTGATTTTTCTCCGAAGTATTAATTCTACGTAATTAACAGCAAGGCATTTGTATACTTCAGTGTAGTTTACGAAACAAGATATCAGATTTACCGCGCTTCTCAAAAACACGCGAACTCTCAAGTTCAAAAGCCAACTGACGTTTGCGTCTTTCGCTGCCATCAATCATCTTAGCGGACCTCTTAGGAAACATAACTTTACTTAAACGGATTCAAAAGGTCATGGTTTGTGATCTGTGATTAGTGGACTTTGATAGGCATAGCTTTTGTGTGCTTTTAAGGTTCGTTGCTTGTGAACGCAATTATGATTGACGACGGCGAAAAACGCAATTCTGAAGGCGGCTTTTGAACTTTAGAGTGATCGCGTGTTAGTGAAAAGCGCAGTACAATAAATAAACGTCAAAATGTCCCCGAATTTATCAATCTGCACAGGTTCCCGTTTATTTCGAAATAGCAACTTAATATTTCGCGAATAGTTTACATGTATATTTATTAGTTGTGCATTGCTGAAGATAGTTATGAAGAATCTAAACCTGGTAACGAGAAACCAAAAAGCAAGGTAAGCCGTAGTTATGTTATCCCAGAAAGAACGGTCAACATCCAAGCCATTTCTATTTTTCGTTTGGGATCATGGGCGGTCCAAGTTGGGGATCATTTACGGTCGAGGATCATTTGCGATCCACTTTTGGGATGATTTGCGGTTTGGGGATAATTTGCGGTACTGTACAGAACTCCTCGTAACAATGCTTGTTGTTTCATTATTAGTCTCATTAATCTCTGTCGATACATCACTGTTGTTTGTTTCCTTCCATGGTTTTATCCCAAAAACTGTACAGTATGAAATTTCTTTGCTTGCAGCATGTATGGCAATGTTTTTCTTGTATGTTGTTTCACTAAGCACAGAGCACCAACTGTTGAGCTCAGTGTTTTTCTCTCCAAGAATGGTACTTAAGAAGGGTACTTATTGTGGGAGTCCTAGGGGCATCATGAACTAGTGATATGGAATTTGACATACAGAATTCTCGCATTCTTTTGCCTGTAAATTCCTAATTCCATTATCGCTATGCAAGATCTTTGGAAATCCAAACATGAAAAATACATTTTGCAGCGCTTGTACAACCTTCTGGCATGTTTTGGACCTTAGTGGGATGAGCCAAGAATATTTACTTTAATGGTCGTTGATGTGAAGTACCTAGTTATGACTTGGGGAGCACGAACAAGGCAAATTTCTAAAGTCGGTTAAGTCAATAATTGCGACATGCATAAGGAAACCATCGGCTGCAATTGGTCTAACAACAGAACAACAGGTTTCTTCATATAGCTTGTGACACTGCGTTGAGACTGTCGTAAAGTGCAAAGAGACACAAATAATTCAGTCACCTCTTGGTTAATTCCTGAGTAGAGTTCACGTACGTAATGTTCAGTCTTTTCTCTTCCACGGCAAGCAATGGCCGAATGTGCATCAGGCAATGTTTTGGAGAGCTCTCGTTTTAGAACACAAACTCTTCCATTTTTGTCTTGAATTTTTCCCTTCTGCAGAGTCCACTGTTTTCGCTTGATAGTTGCAATATCTTTCTTCGACATTGACGCAAACGAACCTTCATCTTGGCCTAGCCAAAGTTTGGCTTGATCGTAAAAGTCATCAGAAATAAATAATGTTGTTTTACTATCTTTTCCCTTGCTTGATGTTTTAAAATACTGTTTTATCCATATGTGACATGTGGTGAGGGGGTGCAAATACAAATCGTGGGAGGCGAGGGTAAGGAGAACCAAAGAGTGGTAAGGTGGTGTAAGTACAAATCGTAGGAAGGGAGGGTGGTGTAGATGAGTGAAGTCAGTCTACTTTAAAATTGCATCTAATTATTTTTAAGAACCCCCTAAAAAGCCGCGCCCCAAGCCGCCTCTTATTGATCTATAAAACGCCCCCGCTTGGACCCCACAATCAAACTGAGACGGAACAGGCGTTTATTAGGTCATTTACGGTATCGAGAATTCTCCCAACTCTCGAATGTTCATAATCGGGCTATGCATTCTATGTCAAAAAGAATTCTATTGCTTATATAAAATAACTTTCCCGAGAAAAAAAGCAAACCTCTTGGTTTGTGGCACTACAAATAGGGAAATTTTACCAGTTGCAAAGTGATTGTTGTACGCGTAATCATTTCCTGTTTTGCATAAGGATGCTCTCCAAGATGCGGAATTCTCTGGCTTTAATGTCAATAGAAGCGAAAAATAATGATACGGTATGTTTTTAAAGATTTCTCAAGCTTCAACCGACGAGGAAATAAAGTAAGTAAAGTGGACTTGTCGAGTTTTCATCTCAAAAACCTTCGTGCTTGCGTGATTTAATAGCGCGTACACGGCAAAACGTCTTGACGTTACAACTGTGTTTACATACTCTCACGCCACTTGGCCAATTAAGAGCGCTTGTACTCTCTTAGTTATTTTATAGCCTGGGCTATAGTTATATCGTACCTTTTGTTCTCCATAATTTAAGTTCATCTAAAATTCGTGCTTCGTCAGAGGGAGGAATTCTCAAGTTTGTTGCCAGAGCCTCCATAAGGTCAAAGCAGGTGTCGAACTGTACTTCTGTCCAAATTGTGAAGTCGCAATGGGCCCACTCGTTACGAACGTTTGATCTCACATCCTCAGCAATCGGTTCAACAGACGCAAATGGCAAAGCTCCGCAGAGAACAGCAAGGGCAGCAGAAGAATCAAAGGAACTGTCAAATGCATTGAACTGCGCCATGATAGGTTTCATAAACAGCTTGGCCAAAGACACTTCATCCCTTACACAGTAGTCGTAATGGGTACGGTGCGTGGCTTTGTGGTTATTGTTGATACTTTCATAGTTCAATTTCACCGTGGACGGTGGAATATTCTTCATGAAATATGTGTACGTTTGTTTGTCCACTCCAAACCTTCGCACTAAATACTGGTAAAATGAAGTCATTTCGGTTTTGACCTTATCTCTGAGGCATGGAGTGAGGACATGGTGAAGAGCTATACCCACCACTAACCACCGGCGCTGCTCTTGAGATCCTGTTAGGGAAGCCATGTCTTTAGTAATATATCCTCAAAGCAGTCTGAAACGGTGAGTTTCCTACAAATAAAAGTAATATAAATAAAAAGATCAATCAGGTCATGAGAGCGCTTCAAAGAGACCTTTAATGCGAATTAAAAAGTATCAATTTTCCTTTAATTGATGGTTTTCACAGTGACGTCATCAGATCGCAAAGTAAAAAAAGTGAGGTTTTTACGAATTCTTATTTACACTAGGTTGAAGATAAATAGAAAATAAATCATTGTACAAGTTGCCAGCCCCGAAGCATGTTTCGTTTCGAAAATACAACAATTTTCACAGTGCGTGTGACACCAAAATATATAGGAATGCTGTCTCTTTGAAAAATTCTCTCTTCTTGATAATCAGCAGTTTAACCATTTCAAGCATTAAAAGATGTGTTTATGCGCACGTATGCTAGCTCTTGAGTGAAAAGGAAGAGCTTTTATACAAAAAGTGAACTCCAGATGTTTTTGTTGATTTCCGGCGGCCATATTGGCGGACAGTTTCTGTCCACCACCAATATATAGCGTCTCCATACAAAGTTCTACAAAGGTACGTGAAATGTTTTGGCAAATAACTCAGAAACTGTGGGCCACAAAGAGCTGAGATTTGGACAAATTGTTTATATATTAGTCTTGTATAACATTTCATTTTCTTGACTTCTTCCACTGGACAGTTTCCAATTTTTTTTTTTGTGCCGTGTTGAGTGCGTGAAAGTGAAAACGAAGAATAACATAGCAGACTCGGAATATCATTTCCAGTTGTTTTTTTTTTTCCACCTTCCCATCTTTTTTTCTATGGGATACCGGTTAATATGATATACAATTTCTTTGTCTTTTTAATATGCGTAGTCTTTTTTCAGCCCGGTTATCATCTGTCCGCCGAATTCCTGCTTTCGTGGAAAGCACTAGCTTCCCCCGAGACCTTTCTCGGAAAAACAGGATAAAGTTTGCGTTACGGGGTGTTAAGTGAGCTCTTGGTTACGTCGCAAATGTTTTTACAACAGGGAAGGTATGAAAGAGAACTGCTGAATATAAATCTCCTCGAGTGATGTTAGGACGTTATATCGAAGCCCCAAGCAATCCCGTAATAAATTACACAAAACTGAGAAATTTATGACCATGACCCACGAAGGTTAAAAGCAGTGGGCCTTCAACCTTTCAAATATGTCAATCATATTTATTTTATAGATTCACCCCTTTACAGGGTTTCTTTTTTAGAGAGACCTGCTTTAGAGATATCCCCTCTTAGAACATGTCTATTTAAAAGAATTTGCCCCCTTTGCAAGAGACAATATTGGGTCCGCTGGGAGTGAAAACCAATTTAAAGATCTATAGAGTCCTGTGAATTCTTCGTTTTCACGTCACGCAATAAACACGGCACAAAAAAATACATTTGAAACCGTCCAGTGGAAGAAGCCAAGAAAATGAAATGTTATAAAAGACTAATATATAAACAATTTGTCCAAATCTCAGGTCTTTGTGGCCCACAGTTTCTGAGTTAGTTGCCGAAACATTTCACGCACCTTTGTAGAGCTTTGTATGGAGACGCCATATTGGTGGACAGAAACTGTCCACCAATATGGCCGCCGGAAATCAACAAAAACATCTGGAGTTCACTTTTTCTATAAAAGCTCCTACTTTTCACTCGAGAACTAGCATACTTGCGCATAAACATATCTTCTAATACGTGAAATGGTTAAACTGCTGAAAATCAAGCGGAGAGACTTTTTTCAAGGAGATAGCATTCCTATTTTGGTGTCACGCACTGTGAAAACTTGGAAGTTCAAACTGCTGTATTTTCGAAATGAAACATGCTTCGGGGCTGGAAACTTTTACAAAGATTTATTTTCTATTAATCTTCAACCTAGTGTAAATAACAATTCGTAAAACCTCGCTTTTTTGACTTTGCAATCTGATCACGTCACCGTGAAAACCATCAACAGCACAATCAACAGAGTCTGTTAGTCTGTTTACTTCTCGATCTGAAATTGAAGCGTTTATAACACTATAGAATATAAGGTAACTCATTAGCAAGCAGCTTTTCAAAGCTATACAATGGACGGCTTACCCAAGCTTTCGTTCAACTGTTTGCAACGATATCCAACGCGAAACGTAATGAATTGCGACATCCGCAAACCTCGCGCCGCGGTCAGTCCAATTTAAAAGGTTTTGCATAAATGCGACTTATAAACCATCCAGCGGCACATTCCCATTAGCCTCTTAAAAGGAATCCCCGCGGACTCTCAAAAGTTTATGCGATTCCGGGTAAAAGAAGAAGTAAATTAGGTCACGTGAACCTGAAGGGCCATTTTGAGCGAAAAATCTTAAATTAGAAATGGCATCATTATAAAATAGCATTCAATCGAAGAAATTGCAACCAAACATGTCCATGTCCCTAGATGAACGACTAAACATCTGTGCCTGGGCTTTGTTGAATAATTCATTGAAAGTGTACATAAACGGAATTTTGTACTAGTACCCAGTCCCCTCATCAAACGATTTTCGAAGTTCATTCCTGTCTAAAAGATTAACTTAAAAAGCCCAGACACAGAAATGATGTACCCACTAGTCTCATAACTATGACGATAACTGCGAGTGAGTTTTGTGCTAAAAATAGCCTTAATAGGCCACGTGAGAATTAGTCACTCCAATCATCATTCAAAGTTTTTAAACTTATACCCAGGAAGTCTGTCCTTACTGTTATTTTGTGCTTTATTGAAAGCTTAGGAAGTTAGACCCCCCCCCCCCTCCCCACTGTTTTTGAGGAATTAAATAGCAGACCCATACCTTAATTTTCTTGAGCAGTAAATCTAGGGAAATTAACGTGCAGGCGAGGGGGGTAACTTACGAAAAACCACCTGTAAACCATTCGTTTTGATCTGGGGCTTCAAAAATGTCATCTATAGGACTGTCTGAAAATGATAGATTGCCCATCTTTACCTTTAGCATTTCTAAATCCTTTTTCATTACTTGGCTTCTCACTTCCAGAGTTTTGCAGATGTCATCTACTTGTTGCTGTCTAGTTTCCCAGTGTAGTTCTGATATCCTTAGCATTTCCCTCTGATCCCTGTCTTTGGAGCTTATCTCCTCCTTAATCATATCTTGGTTTTTCCTCAGCTCCATACAAGTCGATTGCATTCTCTGGTGTTGATTCTTTAGCACCTGTATGGCTCTATTTAACTCAGACTTAAACAGAGCAAGAGTGGAACAAATGCTTTTTATATCTTTAGCGTCTTTATCTTTGAAGTCATCTAATGAGTCAGATAGTTGCTGAACTTCTTTACGCATAACTTGTAAAAGATTGTCATCAACCGTTTTACCAAGGCATATTTCCAATCCTGCATCAGATATAAATGCACAGAGACCAATAATTAACATTAACACATTTTCTAACGTGATATTATTTTTCCCGCAGCTTAAATAGTTCTTCAAGTTAAGACTCGGAGTAACCTGAATTCTCTCTACATGAATGAAAGGTTTGTGGATAACTTAAGGTTAAATTAAAGGTATCTGCAGCTTATTAGGCCCTTTTCCACCTAATCTCTATACAACTGTTAAAGCTGTACACAGAATATATCAAACTAACTGCGAGACATTTACAGTTAAATTAGCACTACGGCGCGGATAACGAAAACGCGTTAACAAATTTGGTAGTTCTTTTCATTGTACCTTGTGTCCTCCACAATCTAAGTTCATCCAAAATTCTTGTTTCGTCAGCAGAGGGGAATCCCAAGTTTGCTACGAGAGCCTCCATAAGGTCAAAGCAAACGTCATAATGTCCCTGCGTCCAAATTGTAAAGTCGCAATGCGCCCACTCGTTACGAACATTTAACCTCACATCTTCAGCAATCAGTTTGACAGACGCGAATGGCAAAGCTGCAGAGAGAACTGCAAGGGCTGCTGAAGAATCAAAGGCGTCGTCAAATGCATTGAACTGAGCCATGAAAGGTTTCATAAACAGCTTGGCCAAAGACACTTCATCCTTAACGCAGTAATCGTAAAAACTACTGTTAGGGACAGTGTGGTTATTGTTGATACTCTCGTAGTTTAGGTTTACAGTGGATGGTGGAATGCACTTCATGTGAAATGGGTACTTTTGTTTATCCAGACCACAGTGTCGTACCAGATTCTGGTAGAATGTAGTCAATTCACCTTTGATCTTATCTCTGAGGCATGGAGTAAGGACATGGTGAAGAGCAATGCCCACTACTAACCACCGGCGCTGCTCCTGAGAGCTTGCTGATGAGGGCGACGCCATTCAGGAAAGCTGTTGCTCCTCGAGGTGGATTTAGATAGTTAATTGTCAACAAATAGGAGACGGATGTTACTCTAAATCTCTCTACTGTAAAGTTTGGACCCTACGATAGAGAACAAAATGGGTGAATTTAGAATAAAATTTGACTCTATACCACAGTGCTTTGCTCATTTGCAAATCACGTTAGGCCGGTACTCTGATACAGAGGTTATATAAAAGTGTGGGAACAAAATATTTTCAATCATTCGACAGGCTGACCGGTTTTCGGCCGCCGTTACAGATATACAAACTCCACTTTATGATAGTCCAAATTCCTTACGTTATTTTATTGGAATTACAGCTAACTCTGATTAGTTCCGTCACCCGCATCCCGGTATACTTGGTTATTCGTTGTGGGGGGACGTCAAGGACACAAAATTTCGACGTTTCTCCCAGAAGAGATATTTCGGAGACCTTCGGATTAGTGGTGTGCTGGAAACAGGAGCATTTTTGATCTTAGAATATATTAAACGTGTTTTGCAAAATAGCCGTTCATGCATGCAATCCACGTCTAAGATTAGAACTTGACGTTGATTATTCAGTACTCACTCGTATCTTATGCAATTGCATACATGAAACTTTGTCTGCAAACTCACAGAACATACAAGCAATATCCTCGCAGATATTGATGCTCCTGTCTTCTACAAAGAGACAAGACAGAAGCGCCCTAATTTTTCCCTAAGTAGATGATCAGTCAGTTAAAACGAGGAACATTCTTTACATTAATACGACCTTATCAACGAAAATACAGGGTAAATCGTCGACAGAGTTAGCAAAAACTTTATCATGTAAATACCATTCTACATTATTCGACTTCTGAAAGAGCCAAATCTGTCACAAGTAACGAAAAAAGCTGTCGATTTTTAGTTTTGCTTCGGCATCTTTCACCACTTCCGGGATTCGATAAATTACTCTAAAAAGGTAACTTTCGACTCAGTACTACTAAATTTACCTATATGTAAACTTACCACCTACTGTATTAAGCGTTCCCGTTGTGATCTTCTCGAAAGATTACGTAAAGAATCGTGGCCTTAACCAAAAATGTCGGTCCCTCCGGCTACACGCAAAACCGAAAGTGGTTCTTGTCTAAGATCCGGGATATTGAAATAGTTTCGCTCGAACAAGTCATATATCCACCTTACAATGGAATTCACTCTCGATCAAACATTACTTGTTATTGGCGGTGGTACTTCAGTGAGGTTTTGATTAATATCCAGCTGGAAAGTTAACGAACCTTAAAATCGAAATAAGAGAGGAAATTTTGTACATTAAATGTATGAAACTGATCAAGTATTTTACTTGACAATTTGATGACTCCGTTTGTTGTCTGGACGTCAAAGCGAGCTTGTCTCATTATTCTGCGCAGCTTTTGCGTTTCGGATCACATGGTACGAGCGAGTTTGTGAGTTCGTCTTGGATACGTCATCGGAATCCTTTGACCGAGAAGGACTGGGCAGACGCCGTACAGCGACTGGGCACGAAGCAAGACAAGGATTCCTTTACGCTCAATTCGACTCTAAAGAAACGAGAAAAAAAACTGGGCCGAGGTCACTTTCGCAAAGACTTCTGGGACTGTTACTAGGGAGAGGGAATAACAGAGATTTTGTAAAATCCAACTAGTGGTCTATTATCAATGCTATGTTCTGATAGGTTGAGCTACTACTAGGCTATATGTTATAGCCCACTAGTAGCGAAAAGCGCGGGCTTTTTGGCGGCAAAAAGGATTAAAGTCTAGCTTTAACTAGCTTATTTTTTTTTTATTCTCGATACTTTTGACCAACTAGTTGGATTTTACTAAAACAATTATTCCTCGAGCCCTCATGGCCTCTGCGTCAATAGCCATGGTCAATAGCCTATTGACTCAGAGCCCATTCGGGCTCGAGAAATAATTGTTAAATAGCCAGGGCTAAGAACGAGGCTCCCGATAATATTTATAGTTTGCTCAAACAAAACGTAAAATCGTGTAATGCTAAGAGGCGAAGGCAACGAGAACGGTGAAAAAACAAAAATAGGTCTCATCAGCAAAAAGGCAATTTTGCACGTGCAGCACAGTTTCTTTGTACTTTTCTTTACCGTTGGTTGCACGACTGCAACGTGAAACTTCCCGAAGCTTCCTGGTTACATGTTTTATGGAAGAAATGTTGTACGTGTTCTTGTCCACTTTTTGTCCACTGTCGCTCAGTTTCACCCAGGTGGCCGCTAGCATTTCTCATTTTCTCACCGCCGCTACAAAATTTCATGTTGTTCCTCCAACAAAAAATGTCTCCTTTGTTTTTTCTATCTCGCTCTGGCTCTTTTTCTCGTCGAGCTTCGCTGGCCTGTCGCCTTAGCTTCTCTTTTTCTCTGTTTTCCGAATTTGTGGACATGACAATTAATCTAACGTTAATACTTTAGACAACAGGATACAGAAACAATTTCCGCTTTCCGTTTTCATCTTTACTGACTCTTTAGTTGTCTCCGCTTCACAAGACGCGGGCTGCCATACGCTTTCCCGCCACAATAACCTGACATTTAACATTGGCTTACATGAGGTGGTTGTACGGACGGTCGGCGTTCGTACGCTACGTCATAACCAAATTTTCTTGCTCTCATAGGTTACCAATTTATCTTAGCAATTGGGCTCCGCCACGCGCGCTTCGCGCGAGGGAGCTCCGCTAAAATGGTCCAATAGCTGACCGGCGCGTCCCCAATAACGATCCCAGAATGAATTGCGGGACACATTTCGTCTCCAGTCCCCTTCTCGTTTCTGAGGTAGCTAATAGCATGCCAAACGTTCGGTTAATCCTCACTGAACTAACAATATCACGTGAGAAAAAAAACAATGAATGCATCTTAAGTATTTCATGTACAATTTATTGAAAAAATATGATAACAACAACTATATACTGTTTCATAAGACATTCATTTGTTTTCGTGCTTATGCGGCAACAAGCCATACGGTTAGCCAATGAAAACTGGACTTCTATAAATATTAAAAATTATAAACGAGTACAGAGAAAGAGACAGTACCATCAGATTTCTTTACCCAAGGAAGCCGATCCAATGCTTTTATGACATGTGAATTTATTAAAGTCAGACTTAGCAATATGAATACTTATTGTTCCATAGTCATAGAAACTTATTTCATTTGATCTTGGGCGAGGAATGCATCGTTTTGTAGCCTTAAAAATTTAAACTCGACAGCAGTTTGTGGAACCGCTATTTTGAAAACCTTACAAAATGATTTGCCTCATAAATTTTGTTTTTGGCCTTTTGAAAACTTCAAGTGTGGGAATAAACATTAATTCATAATTACATTTTCTTCGCAACGTTTCAAACAACAAAGACGCTCTTTTCCATTTCTGAAAGCGATGAGTTCACCGTGAATCTTGCTTCCAAATAATAATTCTAATAGCTGCAGCATTTACACTTCATAATTTTGTGAAGTGCATCTGTTCGACGGAAATCCTTTACCCACTTATCGGCATACTGCACTACTGCAGCCGGAAGCTTTAGAGATGAGGAAGTTCTCTGGCTACACAGGAGTTGAAGATTCATGATGGTATTGCCCGAGGTCAAACTCCAAAACCCAGTTTGAAGGCCAACTCTACCACAGATTGAGGCACTGACTGGTGGTGACACACGTACAGTTCACGCGGATGATCTTCTGGTAGAAGCCGTCTACGTTCAACAGAAGAAAGTATTATGAATTAGCTTTTAATATCACTCACATTTGACTTAAACGTGCTGGTATATGCTTTCAAGCGCAGTTTCCTTCCCTTCCGAGAAATTATTTTAAATAACAAACTCCAATAGGCCATTTCCGAGTTCCAAAATCTCTCACTTTCAAAACGAGGCTAAGTGCAAAAACCTTCTAAGGAAAATGAGTTTTTATGGATGAGAATAAAAACTCATTTTCATATCGACGGCTTCTCAATTAGCCTCGCTTAAAAACAGAGGCTTGGGCAACAACAAATGGCCTATTGGTCAGCTTGCCGCAACAGACGGCTCTTTCACACCTCAAATATATACAATGACGACAAGAAGAAGTAGAGAAAAAAAGAAATAGCAATAAAAAGAAATACGAAGAAAGTAAACTAAAAGGCAACCTCTTACTGCTCCCACCTAGAGCTTGCCTATTTCCTCGTAACAGTTCGAATTCTTTCTAAACGTACCCGATAACCCAATACTTGAAGATTGATGGAGACTTCTTTTGTTCAGTTGCGTTGTCTGGAATTCGGTGGAACATCACGCCATGTTCGACCACATCCTCCACTACGGTACATGTAAAACGTGCGTTGGGATTTTTCTGCTTTAAGCGCTGTTGAAGGGGAAATGATATTATAATAATTGCTGGAATTTGGCTTCAGTTTTCGCATATTTGTGCAAAATACGCATTACTGTTATTACAATCAAAATCAACAGTACGAGCGGTAGCAGTCTCCTCAATTAACACCTCGTATAAGGTACACTGCCACTTTAAGAAAGAAAAAAACAAATTATTACAAGTTATTGTAAAATGGTTTTTCGACATACCTGCTTGTAATAAGGAGAAAATAATCTACGCATGGAGAGACAGGTTTTCTCGAACGTGTTCACCACCTCTGCATGTACCAGTCCTCCCGTAGTGGGCGCATCGCCATCATTCGGACAGACTACAATGCCATGAAATGAATCCCAGCTCACATAATGAAACAAGGTGTTATCTATACCAGCAGTCAACCTAGCATGACAGAAAACACAGTCAACTATGGTCGTGTGTTTGTTGTAGTTTAAGTTTTTTCACTTAAATTATAATAATTATGGAAGCAAAAATAATACACCAAAAAGTCACGGATAAACGTGGACCGCAACAAAACCACAACCTAAACTCACACAAACTGAGAAAGGGTGTACATGAATACTATTTTGCTGTTTAAAATAATATTGTGGGTGAAATGTCAGAACAGAAATCAGCCAAGCTAGAGCGATTCTCGTATAACCTT